GAGGGAGAAGCAGGTTCCTCTAGGGAGCCCTATACAGGGCTCGATCCTGGGGATCTGGGATCAGGACCTGAGCCGAAGGCAGATGCCCAACCGACTGAGTCACCCAGGCACCCTTCCATCCAGATTTTTTATAACCATGGCCATGATAGCTCTGAAGTTTCCAGGACATTCCAACTTTTTCCACTGTCGTCACAATGATACGCAGACTTGTCAGATCATGGGTCCTGGTTCAGATCATGGGTCCTGGTTTTGGGTCAGGAAAGCATACTTCAAAAGTGTGAGGCTGAGGCTTTTGACACAGGCTTACCCAACCTTGTGTTTGCTCACTTTGGTCTCCACATTCTTTCCAACGAATTTAGGTTAACAAAAGGTACCTGCTTTGAAAGAAGCTGTAATAGAAATGACTGACCCCATGACAGGGCAAAATGAAGCAGGTTCAGGCCTCAGGAAGAATTCACTAACAGGCTTCCAGTCAAGGGTGAATAAAAGCAGAACTACAAGCAGGTCCTGAGGACAATGATGAAAACATGTTTACCACAGAGAAATAGAAATAGAAGTGGGGGAGGGGAGAGCAGGGCCCTTCAGGGGCACGGAGAGGACAACTCACTTCCATTTTTTTTTTTGAGGCTCTTTGTCTATAGAAAAACAAAGAATTCGTTTCTTCATTTGATATTTAACAAATGCTTTTGGCACCCCAAGATTAAAATGCAGTGTAAGAGTGCTGTCACAAGATGACAGAATTTATTAAAAGCCCACTAATAAAGCCACAACGAGACACCACCACACACTTATTAGAATAGCTAAAAATGAAAATGAAAACAAAACTGACCATACCAAGTTTTTATGAGCATGTGAAGCAACTAGAAATCTCTTACCTTGTTGGTGGGAATGCAAAATGTACAGTCACTTTGGAAAAAAGTTGGGCAGTTTCTTGTAAAATTAAACAGACACCCGCCATACAACACAGAAATCTTACTCCTAGGTGTACAGTCCCAAGAGAAATGAAGATGGATGTTCATACAAAATCTGTATATGAATGTTTATAGGGATTTATTTGTAATTGTCCAAAACTAGAAAGACCCAAATACCTTCAACTGGTGAATGAAGAAACTGGCGTATATCCATCATGGAAAACTTGTCAGCAAGAAAAAGGAGTGGAGGGACGCCTGGGTGGCTCAGTGGGTTAAGCCTCTGCCTTCGGCTCAGGTCATGGTCTTGAGGTCCTGGGATCGAGTCCTGCATCGGGCTCCCTGCTCAGGGTGGAGGCTGCTTCCTCTTTCTCTCTGCCTGCCTCTCCGCCTATTGTGATCTCTCTCTCTCTCTCTCTCTCTCTCTGTCAAATAAATAAATAAAATCTTAAAAAAAAAGAAAAGAAAAGAAAAAGGAGTGGACTGAAATAAATTCTTGCATATATAGCCAAATGCTTTTCAACAAGGGTGCCAAGGCTACACAATATTATAATAGTGTTACATGGTGACAGATAGGAGCTACACTTGTGGGGCATGTAGCATCATATATACACTTAGGGAAACACTATGATGTACACCTGAAACTAATGTAACATTGTGTCAACTACACTCAGATGAATTTTTTAAAAAGTTTTATATATGTGTGTGTGTGTGTGTGTGTGTGTGTACACACACACACACACACACACACACATATGAAATATTATGCAGCCTTAAAGAGAAGGTAATCCTGTCACATGCCATAACCTGCATGAACCTCAAAGATATTACAGAGTGTAATAAGACAGTCACAAAAGGAACCACTGGGGGCGCCTGGGTGTCTCAGTCCTTAAGCGGCTGCCTTAGCTTCAGTCATGATCTCAGGGTCTTAGGATCAAGCCCCGCATAGGGCTTCCTGCTCAACGGAAACTGCTCAACTCCCCCTGCTTGTGTCCCCTCTCTCGCTGTCTCTCTCTGTCAAATAAATACATAAAATCATAAATACGAAAACAAAAGGAACCACTGGATGGTTCCACCTGGATAAATCTCAAAGGCATCAGGCTAAGTGAAAAGCCAGGCTCAAATAGCTACACAATGTATGATTCCATTGATGTGACAGTCTGGAGAACAGAAAATCTTAGGGACAGAAAATAGATCACTGCCCTAAAGAGCTGGACCAGGGGGAAGGGGCTGGGCGTGGTAAAATTGTTCTGTATCTTGACTGTAATTGTAGTTACATGATCATATGTGTTTAACTGTACAGAAAGAAATTTATACTGTATATATATTATCCCTCATGAAAATGACTAAAAAGAAATATGGAGTAAATGTGGGAAAATGTCAAATCTGGTCTCAGTGCAGTGTATAGTGGTATTTTTTGTAACTCTGATTGTGATTGTGTTTCAGTATGCAAATAACAAAACCAAAAATGATTCTTAAAAACCCAACTAGTTTATTCAAACTGCAGTGTAGCCCATTAATAGGATGCAGTTTTAAAGTTATTTGGTAAGCAAGAAATTCTTATTTCATTCCTGTGAGTGTATGTCTGTGACCTATTTCTTACCTCATTTTCAGGAAAGGTCAAACTTGTAAATTTGGGAACTTCCAAGAATGTGAAGTCTGCTCAAACAGTCCTCCTGTCCCCATAATGTTTCAGAACAAGAACGATGCCTGGTGGTTGATTTGGCACATGAAGAATGGGAGGAGGAGAGAAGCTGGGGATTATTTTCTTCTGGATGTTGATTTAGAAATCAATTACTGGACTGCTCACTTCAACCAAAGTGGTAGAGTCAATCCTTTGTCCTCAGACAGCCTTGATCTTCTTGTAGTGCGGAGCAATTCTTTTATAAAGCTTGATGGTTCTGCCTCTCTATCTGTAAAATATTTGGCTAAGTCGAATAAAGATAGGAAAAACTGGATACCTAATTTTAGATAGGTTAGAAACCAGTTCACCCCAAACCATGCCAAAGATCAAGTCAGAATAGTTAATGCTGCGTTAAAAAGTCAGCCTTAGCTGTTTTTCCACCTAGCCACTCCTGTCTTTGGTTTTTCAGGCTCCTCATATAAGGCAGCTTCCAAATGCAGAATTCCGAAAAGCTGAATTGTCTCGATTCCTCCCAATGTTGGCACAGACTATAAGGAATTGAGAACGCCAATAATCCTAGAGAAACAGATGGACATTTTATTATTTTTTTAAGATTTTATTTATTTATTTGACAGAGAGAGATCACAAGCAGGCAGAGAGGCAGGCAGAGAGAGAGGAGGAAGCAGGCTCCCCGCTGAGCAGAGAGCCCGATGCGGGGCTCGATCCCAGGACCCTGAGATCATGACCTGAGCCGAAGGCAGCGGCTTAACCCACTGAGCCACCCAGGCACCCCCAGATGGACATTTTAAATCACAAACATTTATGCACAACCCAAATGATGCAGTTTTGGATAAAATACAGAAATTGATCTTGGTCTTCCTTGTGCCCTTCCATCCTCATGAGGGAACTTGCCAAGGGCAGGAGAAAAGGAAGGGAGGAAGGATCCTCTGGGTTGAAAGATGAAAAAAGCCTGGCAGAAATGGGTCACCTGTGAAAGGAAAAGTCTCAGTGTTCCCAAGATTTGCAAAATGGATCTGAGCTGATGTAGCCCTCATTTCAACCTTGCAAGATGTCATAAAATTACCTTTGGGCAACCTACCAAGTATTTGAGATTGGACAAAAAGGGGTTTTGAGATGATTTCCCGAACCATAAAATGAAAATGTTATGGCCAAAGGACTCTTCATCAAAGTTTAATCTAGCAACCTACAACTTTAAAACAGAAAACAAGACAAAGTGATTCACAGATATTAAGGAATAGAAAAGAAAGTGGTACCTGGAGGTAAAGAGTAAAGAGAAGTTTAAAAAAAAAAAGCAAAACAGAAACAAGTCCTGGGTTTAGAAGTTATGAAATAAAGGTTGGGAAAATACAGTTTTGTTTTGTTTTAAAGGAAAGCATTACATCAGTTGTTAAAAATGGCCCAGAATTTCAGTCAGATGTTAAAGCAATCCTTTGTAGGGGGGTGGGGGAGGAAATATCTGCAGTACACCTTTGATCCAATTATATTTTTCTACACTTTCTGTGGTATGCCAGAGAAAGGTGCTCAAGGCGCCTCTTTGATGATTAGCTTTGTTATATAAACTTAATAAACTGCGTATATGTACTGTTTGGGCATTTTTTCCCTTAATTGGTAAATGTGTTTGAGTAAATACCATGACATTTTAATTTGACATTTACTTATGAATGGTAAGAAAATTAAGTGTCAACCATATAGCCAACATCCCTGGGCTGGGGTATCTTTATAAATAAGTCAGTTGATTGGAGGGGCCTTACTGAAGTAAGTCTTGTGGTCTCCATGTCATTTTGTAGAGTTTTTTCAATTTGTTTTTGCTTGTTTCGTTTAAAACTAACACATCATTCTACTTAATTTTTGTCAATTGTTTTTTGTTTGTAAAAAGTTAAGTGCTCATTTGCCCCCCCCCCCCTTATTACAACAAGGGTGAAGGGAAGTTACTTGGCGACCTCCTTAGATCCGGCCATCTAAAACAAAAAACACGAAGCTAATGTCACGGTGTGTGACAGAGAAAATTCAAGGACGATGAAGTGGTCACTGTGCTCCTTCGTTATTTAGTAGCTTTCGGATATAGGATCCCAAATTTCCGTCCCCTCACTGGTTACGTCAGGACCTTTGTTAAAAATACTGATTCCTGGACACTGCCCTAGACTTACTGAGTCTGAATCCAGGGTCAGACCTTGGAAATATGCATTTTTTTAAACAAGAGCCGCAGTCCGCTTGGAAACCACCGCGGTCATTCTCAAGTTCTCTGCCCCCACTAGCCTCACACAGCCCGCCGTCTGTGCGTTTCCCTGGTCCCGCCCTCTTTCCGTCCCCGTCCCCGCCCCTCCGTGGCAAGCCTTGTCCAGGCCCCGCCCTTCGCCCCCGCGGTCTCGCGCGGCTTCGCGGGACCTTCCCGTAATGCCCCGCGCCGAGCCGCCGCGGTTGCCAGGCAACGCGTGGTCCCTGCAGCGGTTGGCTCGGCGTTCAGCCTGGCCATGGGGCCGCAGGGCGTTCGGCCGCTCCTGCTTCTGCTTCTGGATTGCTGGGCCTCCGTGAGCGCCCAGACCAGGGCTACTCCGCCTGTGCCGACGGAGGGCCTCAACTCTACGGAGGCAGCCCGGACGACTCCCCGACCCGCCTTGTCTCCTAGGCCCTCTGGAACTCCCAAGGCCCCCGTCCCCACCTCTGGCCCCAGGCCCACCCCGGTCACGGACGGTGGGTACTAAGTGGTAGTTCCTGGGGATCTAGAGTGATCCAACCTGGAGCGGGTAGCCCGGATGAGGCTGTCCTAATAGTAGTGAACGTTTATTGAACACTTGCTGTGTACAGGCATTGCCGAGTATTTCATAGGCGTTAATTGTCTCAGGAACCCGTAGGGTAGATCTCATTGTCCTTCTTGGAAGAGGAAACCGAGACTCACCGTAAGTGGGACAGTCTAAACTCTTTGAAATTACTTGCAGTTGTCTTGAACAACATTAACGCTAAACGTAGTGAGGAATGAGTCGTTGCACCTTAGCAGCAGAGATGAAATTACGTAAATCCGAAGTTTCTGGGCAGTTGTGGAAACTGAATGCATAGGATGTGTTGGAACTTTTCATTTATGAAACAGAAACGCCAGAAGTCTAGTTTACTAAATGTGACTACGCCCCTGTCTGAGGACTTGAATTATGAAACCCCAGAATTCCTCCTGTGTTGAGTTAAGAGATCCCGAGAGGGGAGAGGGAAGAGAGGCAGAGAGGCAGAGGGGGGAGCAGGCTCCCTGCTGAGCAGAGAGCCCGATGTGGGGCTCAATCCCAGGACCCTGGGATCATGACCTGAGCCAAAGGCAGAGACTTTAACCCACTGAGCCATCCAGGCGCCCCTAAAGCTTTTTTTAAAATAAAGCTTTTATATCAAAACTGTTGATTTACCCTATTAGTAGGGAAGGTAAATAAGTGATAGATGGGGACAGACTGCAGCATAGTGTTCAATATCCAAAATTCTCTACGGTTTTTGGACTGGGTTTTCTTTTATCCATCTAAGTATTCCATCTGTTTATGTGATTTCTCCCCAGAATGAAGCTATTCTTGAACCATCATTATTAGGGCATGTGTTCAGGGCTATTTTCCAGCATGGGGGGGGGGATGAATTTGCACTTCCGTCTTCTTAAAGGGCCCAGCTTTAGACCTGGAAAGTAATAATAGATGACAGCTGGCATTTATTCACTGCTTACGGTGTAGCAGGCCCTGTGCTAAGCCTTTTGTATGTAATGTATCTCATTTAATCCCCTGTGATGTGTGTCATCCCCATTTTTCAGGTATATTTAGGTAATACCACTGACAGGAGCAGGGGCTGACTGTGAGTGAAAACTGGACACCATGTGTGGGGTAGATTACAGGTGGAAGAGAAAAGTGATAACTTTCATCTTGATCTGAGCTCTGTTCCTTAGTATCTTGCTCTAGAGCCAAGCATGTCGCTGTTAAGAGGTGTAGAAGAGCAGCTGAGAGCTACTCAGACCTTGGGAGTGCTCAGCGGATACTTGTTAGCTGATTAAGGACACTCACATCCTGGATAGAGACCTTCCCCACTCCCAGTGGAGTTATTAAACACTATTGCTCTGTCCTTACTAGTCTTAGTCTTACTAGAGCTACTTAAAAGTGCTTTGAGTTCTGGAAAATCAAGATTGTAATTTTAAACACATAAGGCAGGGAGCCTAAACACTATATTTTATATTAGCATGTGTGAATTGCATTTTCATTTTACTAAGCACATGGAAGAGTGGTTGGCTGGAGGGGAGTATATAAACTTACAGGGGAAGACTTCTGTGTCTCAGATTAAAGGATTGTGTATTTATTGGCAAAACCTTCCTCCTCTTAGTCATACACTTCTTTCCAGAGTATGTTATTTTACCCTTTTGGAGCTATATTTCTCTAAAGCTCATTTTTGTTGTGAAATAGTTCATACATGCAAGTCAAAATGTGTGGACTCTCTACCGCCATTTCCTTGAGATCCTTGTTTGTTATGAATGAGATTTTTTTGAAAAAATGAAATACTACAGGTAAGACAAGCGCGATCTTATTCTCCCCTTCCCAGCATTAATTACTACCATGAATTCAGTGTTTTTCATTCTTATGCTCTGCCATCTTTAAACAGGTGTTTTTCTCCCCTGTTTGACAGAATAAAATAGGGAATTAAAAATCCAGAGAGTCATTATTATTAAAAATGTTGTGGGGGTGCCTGGGTGGCTTAGTCTGTTAAGCTTCCAGGTCTAGGTTTGGGCTCAGGTCATGATCTCGGGGTTGTGAGATCGAGCCTTTCATGGAGGCTCCTCAGTGGGTGTGGATTCTCACTCACCCTGAGTCTCTTTCTCCCCACTCCTCCTCATGTGCTGTCTCAAAAAAGAAAAATGTTCTGAAGGGAGATTTCTATCCCCCTCATGCTTTATTGTTTAAATTACTGAAGACAGGAGCGCCTCGGTGGCTCAGTTGGTTAAGTGTCTGCCTTTGGCTCAGGTCATGGTCCTGGAGTCCCAGGATCAAGCCTCACATCGGGCTCTCTGTTTAACGGGGAGTCTGCTTCTCCCTCTGTCCCTCACCTTGCTTATGTTCTCTCTCTCTCTCTCAAATAAAATCTTAAAAACAAATTACCGAAGATATTTCCAGAACCCCAAGTACGAAGCACCCGAATCAGCTTGATTCTTGATCAATAGTTTGTGAATGCGGGCTCAGCTTCAAAGCCACAGGTGACATATGGAGAGAGAGAGAAGTTTGAGAACCTTGATTCCTGGTGGCCTTCTTTGGGCTCCTCCTCTGAATCAGAATCTCCAGAGAAGGGGCAGGGGAATCTGTACTATTACACCAGTGGTACTTACGGTCCGGCAAGTGATTTATCATGCTGGTTCTTAAATTATCTGCATCATCTGGAAAGTTTTTGAAAAACATGTCTGGGTTTCCTAGCTGACCAACTGGTGTTTCTGAAGGGCAGAGAAGTGATTTAGCATGCTAGTTCTTAAACCTATTTTATTTTATTTTATTTATTTTTTTTAAAGATTATTTATTTATTTATTTGACAGAGAGAGATCACAAGTAGACAGAGAGGCAGGCAGAGAGAGAGAGAGAGAGAGAGAGAGAGAGGGAAGCAGGCTCCCCGCTGAGCAGAGAGCCCGACGCGGGACTCGATCCCAGGACCCTGAGATCATCACCTGAGCCGAAGGCAGCGGCTTAACCCACTGAGCCACCCAGGCGCCCCCTTAAACCTATTTTAATTATCAGCATTACCCGGATAATTTTTGAAAAACGCCAATGCCTGGGTTTCATAGTCAGCTTACCAAATCAGAGTCTTTGTAGGTGGAGCACAAACAGCATTTTCCAAGTGAGTCAGATGATTAGCTAGCTACTTGGGGGAAACCTCAGATTGAGAAGCATTCAAACTGACTAATTTTCACTTCACAGATCGCCCCCCAAAGTACAATAGGGAAAATAAAATGGACCTTTTGTATGAAATGGACTTTCAACACTTCGCAGTGGCAGGGGGCAGTCACTCCCCGCTGGTGGTGAAGTTCTGCGGCTCATCTCTTTTGTTTCGGTAGTTGCTGCTCTGTGCGTCTGTGACCTGACTCCTGCGCAATGTGACGTCAACTGCTGCTGTGATCCTGATTGCAGCTCCACAGATGTCAGTGTCTTTTCTGCCTGTTCAGTTCCAGTTGTCATGTAAGTTAGTGTCCCATGCAGTTTTGATGACATTGGTCCAAGATTATAAAATCTGGGGACAGAAAGTGAAAAATCTTCTAGGTGGAAACACCCAAACTTGGGTTTCTTGAATTTTGCATCATTCGGAAGCTATCCAGACCATTCTGCAGAAGAGTATCTCTCCCCGATTTGCATCCCGCCGGATGATAGGGCAGGCAAAAGACAGAGCCTACTTCGTTAAGAGTATAAGGAAATCTTTGTATTCAGAGATTGAATTACATTTCACTCTGATTTGCAAACAGATAATGCGTACAGCTTTGTATAAGTGAATTTGTCTCACGTAAGTGGCCTAGGGTGGAAAGTGCAGTTGAATTTACAGCTTTTGTTGTGGACATAGTACTTGTAACAAAAAATTAGACGGGAAAGCTTTGTTTGTACTTTTCTGATACGTAAATCTACCAGGAATTCTCACAATTCACATTGTATAGGAGAACAATGGAAAATTATATTCCCAGTCGATTACAAGGTAAAGAAACAATCTCCTCTGAATGATTTGTTTCTTGTAATTCAGACTTCAAAGGTCTTTGAAAAATACAGCACTTAAAAGAGGTTAATTTATTCAGGATGGGACCAATTATTATTCAGAGATAGTTAAATTTAGTCTTGTAGCAATTGATACTTGATAGATTGAATGCTTTTGGAAATACAATGTGTTTTTCCCATGAAAAACTGTCTTTTTTAAAAAAAGATTTTAATTAGGCGCCTGGGTGGCTCAGTCATTAGGCATCTGCCTTCAGCTCAGGTCGTAATCCCAGGGTCCTGGGATCGAGCCCCACATCAGGCTACCTGCTCAATGGGGAGCCTGCTTCTCCCATTCCCCTTGCTTGTGTTCCCTCTCTCGCTGTCTCTCTCTCTGTCAAATAAATAAATAAAATCTTTAAAAAAATAAAAAAAGATTTTTTTTTTAATTAAACACTTTATTTATTTGACAGAGCTCACAAGTAGCAGAGAGGCAGGCAGAGAGAGAGAGCAGGGAAGCAGGCTCTCTGCTCAGAGCCTGATGCGGGGCTCGATCCCAGGACCCTGAGATCATGACCTGAGCTGAAGGCAGAGGCTTAACCCAAGGCACCCCCCCCAAAAATATAAGATTTTTTTAAAAAAAGATTTTATTTATTTATTTGACTGACAGAGATCACAGATAGGCAGAGGAACGCAGAGAGAGGAAGGGAAGCAGGCTCCTTGCTGAGCAGAGAGCCTGATGCAGGACCTGAGCCGAAGGCAGAGGCTTTAACCCACTGAGCCACCCAGACGCCCCAAAATATAAGATTTTAATCAATTTGAGAGAGAGTGTACACATGGCACAAGGGGGAGCAGAGGCAGAGGGAGAGAGAATCTCAAGCAGACTCCATGGCAGCCCTGCGGCTCCATCTCACGACCCATGAGATCATGACCTGAGCCTAAATCAAGAGTCAGACACTTAACCAACTAAGCCACCCAGGTGCCCCTCATGAGAAAGTATATTACCGACCAATGGGAAATTGAATCTGCTTCTAATGTACTAAAAATGTTTGGAGAATGGTATGTTGTTGTAGTCAGATTATTTTTCTGGGTATCTGGTTCAGACTTTGTTAGAAATCATTCTGCTTTTCTGCCTTAATAAGTATCAAAAGCCTGAGAGTGAGATTTTGGCTCTATTATTTTAGATGACATTTTTTCTTTCATTAGGCAATACTGAATTTTAGATATAGACTATTTAGTATGTGGGTTAGCAAGCTTTTTCTGTAAAAGGGCACACTGTAAATATTTTAAGCTTCAGAGGCCAGTGGTCTCTGTTGCAGCTTCTTCACCTCTACCACTGATGAGCAAAAGCTGCCATGTAAATGAATGGGCATGACGATGTTTCAGTAAAACATCATTTATAACATTAGGTATGGTTTGTGGACCCCTGGTATAGAAGTTAGAGCTGAATCCATAGTGCCCTCAGGAAAGGACCTCAGAATTTTTTTGAGTTAGTTTTGCTTATGACTTTCTCCTAAATAAGAAGTGCAGAAATAATGAAATAAAAATTGATAATCCCAACTAATTGATTATCTTCATTATGTAGGTTCTGACTCATAAAAGGTTTGTTTACATCTGCTAAACAGTTAACAGCTAATCCTATCATCTAATGATTTGTAAATTTATTGTTAAGGTTATTGGATTAATATCTGTTTTCCTCACTAGATGTAAACTTCACTTGAGATCAAGAATACTATCCCTTATGCCACTAGTGCCTAGCGCAACTCCGGCCACGTAGTTGGCCCTCGTGAGAAGTGAGTTGAATCAGTGAATGAATTTCTCCCCTCTACCCCTAACACACCCTCTAGTATTCTCTTGACTTCTCTACCATTGTTCTCTTAGGCAGACACCTAAGCCTGAACCTGGGGGCTACCCTGACTCCTGCCTCCCCTTCGCCTTCTCACATCTGGCCTCCTTTCACACCATGCCGTACCTTTCACGAACACCAGGGATGTAGGGTGAGCTGGATGTGGCTTGCCCTCCTGGAGCCCACTGAGTGGAGAGATAAAGGAGTGGGTGGCAGTTCTGCCCCAGGCACTGAGATAGCTCAGAGGAGTAGGATCTAACCTAGGCTGTTGGACTAGTTAACGCTTTCTAGAAGAGACAGTCTGAGCTGGGTTCTGAAGGACGAGTGGAAACTGGTCAGCATGGAATCAGTGGAAGGCATTCTAGGCCAAGGGAGCCACGTGGCGGAGTCTTGGGGGTGAAGGAGAATGGCTGTTGCCTTAACTACAGTTAGCTCAGTGTGGCTGGAGAAGGGGGCTGAGAAGAGTGTGCCACAATGACAGGGGTCCGATCTCGAGGGGTCTTGTGTGTATGCTGAGGGAATTGGATTTTTGTCCTGAATTCTGCAGGGCTGCAGGGAGTGAGGGGATTGGATTCCCATCTTAAGCAGTTCTCCCGCAGCATGGATGATGGGTCACAGGGACTAAGCCTGGTGGCAGGGAACTGAGGAAGAAACTGTTGCAGATATGAATGAATAGGTACCCTCCCCGCCATGCTGAAGGTCATGACTAGAGAAATATGCAGAACTGAAACGGATCCACTCTGTGAGACTAGAATGGGGAGAGTAAGGAGTTCCATTCTGCTGTGTTCCTTCACACTAGCCATTGTGTCTGTCCCTTCCTCCTCCTTCTGTGTAAGCTCACACCTCATCTTGTCATTCAGTTGCTAAAAGCCTTCAGAAGCTCTCATTCCCTACAGATTCCTTAGCCTGGATTTAGATCCATTCCCAAACTCTTTCAGATCCTGTTTCCTACTAACCCCATCTTGAATCCTCCGTGCTGCCTAACTTTGGTACTCAGAGTTTTCTAGACCACACCAGTACATTACCCATCCTTGGCAATGCCACTCTTACCCTTGGATTAGCCATTTCTTCTCTGTCTGACTCCTGCGCATCCTTTAAGACCCAGTAGGCCTTGTAAATTTTTCAGTGTTAGATGTTGTCTCATATATGCTACTTATATTTTTTCAAAAATATTCTTTATGTCCACGGTAATGGCTGATATACCATTAGAACTGTACAAAGCTTTTGGAAAAGTGGCCACTTATAAAATGATAGCTTCCTTATACTTCAGCAGTAACCATCAAAAAATATAATGGAAATGGATCCTATTCATAACACCCAATAGAAATGTCATATGAGGGGCGCCTGGGTGGCTCAGTGGGTTAAAGCCTCTGCCTTCGGCTCAGGTCATGATCTCAGGGTCCTGGGATCGAGCCCTGCATCGGGCTCTCTGCTCCGCGGGGAGCCAGCTTCCTCCTCTCTCTCTGCCTGCCTCTCTGCCTACTTGTGGTCTCTGTCAAACAAATAAATAAAATCTTAAAAAAAAATGTCATATAAGAAAAAAAAAACTTAAGGGACACCTGGGTAGCTCAGTTGGTTAAGTGTCTGCCTTCAGCTCAGGTCATGATCCCAGGGTCCTGGGATCAAGTCCCACACTGGGCTCCTTGCTCAGCGGGGAGCCTGCTTCTCCCTCTGTCTGCTGCTCCCCCCGCCTTGTGCTCTCTCGTTGACAAACAAAATTTTAAAAAAAGAAAAAACTTAAGTACTCAGAATTTATGTGAAGAAAACTTGAAATATAGTGACAGAACATTTGACTAAATGGAGAAATAGTTTATGTAGTGGGATAGGAAGAATCATTATGTAAACGTGTAAACTAACGTATAAAAACTTAATTTATAAGTGTTATTCCAGTCAGATGGGGGAAGGATAATGCATCAAAATGATTCGGGGCACCTGAGTGGCTCATTGTTAAAGTGTCTGCCTTCGGCTCAGGTCATGATCCCAGAGTTCTGGGATCGAACCCCAAATTAGGCTCCCTCCTCAGCGGGAAGCCTGCTTCTCCCTCTCCCACTCCCCCTGCTTGTGTTCCCTCTCTCGCTGTCTCTCCATCAAATAAATAAATAAAATTGTAAAAAAGAAAAAAAAAGAATGATTCTATATAACAAAAAACACTTAAAATTGAAAGGTCACAAACAGGGAAAGAATATTTACAACACATGATACTCAGAAGAGATTCTTAAAGATATGGATTCTCACAAACCAATGAGAAGATATTCCTTTTTTTTTTTTTTGAGAAGACAAACATTGTAATAAAAAATGGTCAAGAGATATGAAGAAGCACCATACTGAAGAAGAGATACCAATGAGCAATAACCATATGGAAAAATGTTTAAGCTCCCTAGTAAATGAGAAAATTCAAATTAAAATGAGGTAACAGATTTTTGCCCATGAAATTGGCAAGGGGGAGAAACTGGATAGTATCTATTATTGGCAAGAGCACAGGGACCTACGCACTCTTACTGTGGTATTGGTGAGTGAGCATCTTCCCTTTTTGGAGGGAGATCTGGCTGTATGTCTCAGAAGCCTTGAACAACACACCTAGCTTTTGACCCAGCAATTCTACTTCAGCGAGAATAGCCCAAGAAAATAGCTGGAGACATTCATAAAGATATATGTGCAAGGATGATGTTATAGTATTATATTAATCTGGGAAAACTAGAAATAGCCCAAATCGACAGCAGAGATTTGGCTAAAAAAATTGGAGTATCTTAGTAAGTTGGTATACAGTGAAGCCATTTCGTATAATATTGCAAAAACTTATCAATGACATGGGAAATATTGGGGCAATACATATTGAGAAAAGGCTTTAAAGCAGTGGGTAAATTAGGATCCTTTTTTGTTGCATCTCTATCTCCACACCATATCTGTATCAAATTGGTTAGAGTTTCTCAAGTCTGGGACTGGTTGAAGTCTTGACTGTACCCTAACTTCTAGGCCCCCAGACTTCTAGAAGACTTCACATTTTCTGATTTTCACAGTCCTTTAAAGATCACTTTATGCTAAAGACAAGGAATTTTGAATCCATTTTGGGTACTAACAATCTGAAGTTGTGTAAAATTTTATGTGATTGATTGTGTCAGAGTTTACAGGATTCCTTTACATCAAATTATACCCTGATCTGTATTCCATACTTGACAAGGTTTCCTTTAAGGTTATTCTACCTGTCTTAATATTTTCCCTGTTAGAGGAAAAAATTTCAAATGCCAGACCCTTTAACACTCAACTAAATAAAAGTGGATTTAGTTCTAACATCGTGCTTTCATGAATATCTTCTGTGGAGTTGTTAACACAGTACGGTACAGGCATCTGACAGTTTTAAAATAATCTAGCTAAGATTGTGTGCGAATGCCTTAACATTTTGTATTATTATTTTTTTAATTTTCAGGGGCGATAGTCAGTTTTGTAGTCAAAAAGCAGCCATCTATTCATTGAATTTTACAGCAAATCCACCTCAAAGGATATTTAAACTTGTTGACCAGATTAATCCATCTATTTTCTGCATTCATATTACAAACTGTAAGTATTTGATGGTGACATGCTTTAAGAAGCCCTGGAAGTTTTCTGTTTAAAAAGTTGTTTTATGGGGACGCCTGGGTGGCTCAGTTGGTTGAGCGGCTGCCTTCGGCTCAGGTCATGATCCCAGCGTCCTGGGATCGAGTCCCACATCGGGCTCCTTGCTTGGCAGGGAGCCTGCTTCTCCCTCTGCCTCTACCTGCCACTCTGTCTGCCTGTGCTCGCTCTTGCTTCTCTATGTCAAATAAATAAAAAAAAAATAAAAATAAAAATAAAAAGTTGTTTTATGGAGGGGCACCTGGGTGGCTCAGTGGGTTAAGCATCTGCCTTCTGCTCAGGTCATGATCCCAGGGTCCTGGGATCGAGCCCCGAGTTGGGCTCTCTGCTCAGCAGGAAGCCTGCTTCTCTCTCTCTCTCTCTGCCTGCCTCTCTGCCTACTTGTGTTCACTCTCTATCTCTCTGTCAAATAAATAAATAAAATCTGAAAAGTGCTTTTATGGAAATATGTCTCATTCAGATAGATTTAAAGCAATAATTTTACGGCTTGGCTAAGGTGCATCTTCTGAGGCTGTTTCACAGGCCACTGCAAGTAACTTTTTTTTTTTTTTAAAGATTTTATTTATTTTATTTGACAGAGATCACAAGTAGGCAGAGAGGCAGGCAGAGAGAGAGAGGAAGAAGCAGGCTCCCCGCTGAGCAGAGAGTCCGATGTGGGGCTCGATCCCAGGACCCTGGGATCATGACCTGAGCCCAAGGCAGAGGCTTTAACCCACTGAGCCACCCAGGCGCCCCTGCAAGTAACTTTATAGACCTTTGGGCATGAGCATTTTCTTTAAAACTAATGTGCTTATGTAGTGGTCTTTTGAAATCTCATACTTCATTTCACTGGAGTTTATAATATGTAGACACGTATAAGAATCTAGGTTTATTTAGGTTATGTGTGTGTGTTTTGTTTTTTTTTTTTAATTTCCTCATGGTTTAATGTTTGAAAATCAGGTTCAGCTTTGGTTTCAATTTCCTGTTTTCTCTTTTATTTTTACTAAGAATATTTGCATGAAAACAGGATCTTTATTTTTATCTTAGCATTTAGCTCAAATAGGTGTTTAGATCCAAAGGACATGTAAGTTTAAAATGTTAACAAGATGTCTAAGATCAGAGATGTATTTGTGGTTTTATCAATTAAGCTTCATCATCTTTTCAGAACATCTTTATATTTTGAATTTGTTCCCTTGCAGTTTAAAACTAGGCGAATGCTCTGGGATTTTTTTTTTTTCTTTTTTTTTTTAGAGAAGGGAAGAGAAAGGAGTGGGAGGGGCAGAAGGGGAGAGAGAGAGAATCTTAAGCAGGTTCCATCCCAGGATGGACACGGAGCTCAAGCTCACAATCCGGAGATCATGACCTGAGATGAAATTAACAGTCGGACACCTAACCGACTGAGCCACCCAGAGCCACCCAGTGTTCTGGGATTTGTAATCTAAAGTAATGACTGCTCAGTCATTGTCAGATTCTGTGACATAACACCAGGCAAGTGAACATACCAGCCCATTTCCTCCTTCTCCCAAGATATCCTATACACAGCACATTATTCTCCTGGGCTTTGGTTTGGAGGTAGCTGTGTGAGGGTAGAAAAAAATCATTTGTCCCTTGGCCATCTGCAGAGAGCTTTGCCTTCGAGGTAAATGCAGCAGGCTCCTCAGTCCATGGGCTGGAGAAAGATTGGTTATTATTGGCTTCTGTTGTGCTGTTTGCCTGCAGGCTTTAGAAACCGTTACTTACACACGATTAGAGAAGCAGGCTGAGTCTGAAGATCCTGTTTATTTAATAAGACTCAAGAAATTCTGGGTAAAGTAAATATGGAAAGAGAGGCTACTTTTTACACATCAACCTTAATATGACTAAAAACTGTCTCCAAAATACTATGTTATATATATCATGTACATATTGTATGCTGATTTAGAATACGTTTTCTAAAAACAGATAAACCTGCGTTATCCTTTATTAATCCAGAAGTGCCTGATGAAAATAATTTTGATAAATTGATGAAAACATCTGATGGTTTTTCCTTCAATTCCGAAGCAGAGATTTCTTTCTCAACCCGGTCGGACACTCCAGCTCCTGCTAAGTATAAGGTGAGCCACGAGCTCGAGCAAGGCCGCTTATCTTCTGGCAAATATCCCGTCCTTGTTGGTTAATTTTTCAGTATGTTCTTAGCAAAATTGGCTTCCTCAAGACAGAATTCACATTTTAGAGGTAAAGACGTAATGTTCATGCCTAGAAATCAAAGATCACAAAAATTAAAAATGAGTAGTTGAGTTTTAACATAGGGTTTAAAGTTATTTATTCATTAGTAAGCCTGCATTTGTCTCGCAGAAATCTTTGTACTTCTCCATCTTAAAAGACGCAGCAGAGTCCTTGAGTCATATTGCTAGGGGCACGGAGTGGATTGGTTGGGTGCCTGGGTCCTCTTCTCAAAGCTCTATTTAGTTTTGCAGACTTTAGGAAGATATGTGCTATTTTTTATCCATTCATTAGTAAACCTTTAAATGCTGTATATATTAACTTTGAATAAGGTTCAGATTTTTGGGGAGCATCTTTATTTTTTTTTAAAGATTTTGTTTATTTGACAGAGATCACAAGTAGTCAGAGAGGCAGGCAGAGAGAAAGGGGGAAGCAGGCTCCCCGCTGAGCAGAGAGCCTGATGCGGGGCTCGAGATCCCAGGAGCCTGCGATCGTGACCTAAGCTGAAGGCAGAGGCTTAACCCACTGAGCCACCCAGGCGCCCCTGGAAGCATCTTTAAAGAGAAATACAGAAGCATCATGTGCTAGTTCTAAAAGTTAAAAATATGGAGGTACCTGGGATGGAAAGGCCCCTGTGTCCACTAAAATGCACATTGCAAATCACTGTTTACAGATTGGTTTATATTCTGATTGAAATGTACCTATAAAAATATATGTATAGTATTGTACAGAAGTAAGATTTATAGTTATCTACATTGTTCTGTAAGCATGCTTTCTTTTTTTAAAAGATTTTATTTATTTATGACCTGAGCTGAAGGCAGTTGCTTAACCAACTGAGCCACACAGGCGCCCTGTAAGCTTGCTTTTTTATTCAGTGATAAATCTTATGCGGATTCTCATATCAGTGTAAAAGTTAACATTTCTTGCAGAGCTTTCCAGATATTAATTCACACAACCCTGAAAGGGATAAGTCATTGTTCCATTTAACTGATAAGAAAAACTTCTATATAGGAAAGTAACTTGGTAGAGCCACTGTTGAAGCTACATGTATTAATGATAAAAAGTATCCCTTCTGTGTATGTATCAGCTTTTATTATTGACCCATTAACAGACATTTGTTTCCAGTTTTTCTATTATAAATAATCCAGAATGAACATTCTTATAGATACTTATGTCTTTGATTTAATCCTTAGGATACCTTCCTATAACTGGATCAACTTAGTCAAAATGAATGGAAATTTTAAATATCCATGTCAGATTGCCTTCTAGAAAGATTACAGGAGTTTAAACTTCCAGGTCCAGTGAAGGAGAGGATTTGTTTCCCCATATCCTTGTTGGTGCCAAAGCATTTGGATACTTTTAAATTCAAGAAAATTGGTTGTATGCACAATAGCTGTAAATTTTGTTCTGAATATTGGGGAAAGGTTTTATGTGGTTTGGTTTGGGGAAGGAAGGCCCATCATTGTTACGATTTTAATGTGTACTATGTCTATTATTTAAATAATTACTGCTAGTAGAAAATAATTACCTTGGGGCGCCTGGGTGGCTGCTCAGTCTGTTGGGCATCTGGCTTCAGCTCAGGTCATGATCCCAGGGTCCTGGTGTCGAGCTCCATGTTGGGCTCACTGCTCAGTGCAGACCTGCTTCTCCCTCTCCCTCTGCAGCTCCCCCTGCTTGTAAACTCTCTCTCTGTCAAGTAAATAAATAAAATAAAATAAAAAAACTACCTCTCTCACCCCTGTTCCTGGCCACCCAGTTCCTGTCTGCAGAGGCAGACACTATGTCAGTTTCTTATATACCTTTCTAGAGGAATTCTGTAACAAAAAAGCCTGCAGGGGTGCCTGGGTGGCTCAGTCGGTTAAGCATCTGACTCTTGATTTCAGCTCAGATCATGATCTCAGGGTTGTGAGATGGAGCCTGATACAGGGTTCTGCACTCTGCCTGGGAGTCTGCTTGAGATTCCATCTCCCTCTGTCCCCTCCCTGCTTGCGTATGCACCCTTGCGTGTGTGTGTGTACACACGCGTGCACATGCGTGCACACACACACACACACGCTCTTTCTAAAATAAATAAATGAATCTTAAAAAAAGAAAGCCTGCAAATAAAATAACATGCACATACACAGAAACACATATCCTTGAAAGAAAGGGGTGGAGCAGCCGGGTGTGAGCTCCACATAGGCAAAGACCGCATCTGGTTTTTTTGCTCATGACTGTGTTCCTGATGCCCGTAACGCTGCCTGGCACAAGGTAGGTGTCCGGTGTGTATTGCATGAATGCTTTCATAGCGCCGTAACACCTACTGGTTGGTCTCTTTGCAGTATGGGGCTCCTCTGCAGACTTCAGATTCATTCTTGAGATTTCCCTCTCCCCTTATGTCATCTCTGTGCACTGATAATAACCCTGCAGGTAAGACACTGGGTATTTTTCATTCTCTCTCTAAATAGTTTGCTCTAAGCTTAAATTTATAGTAGTCATAATTAAACAGGCTTCAAAACTGGAACAGTCTTAGAGTTGAAAGAGGCCTCAAAGGTTATGCAGGTCAGATTTCCAACCATATCTTTCAGTCACTGCTTGAGCACTTGAAGTGATGGGGAACGCACTACCTGAAGCCAGCCTGCTCAGTTGTTTAACCCTTCTAGTTTTTGGAGAGTTCTTTCTCCACTGGAGCTAAAGTTTGTCAATAACTAGTATTTATTAAGCACTTACTGTGTGCTTGCTTGTGTTTTCCCATTTGATTGCCGCAGTAATCCCTGAAGGTCGGGCTATTCATTCTTTAGACGAGGAAACTGAGAAACATTCAGTCTCTTATTCAGGCTTAGACAGTGGTGGAGCAGGGATACAGCCCACGCAGCTGCCTCCCACAGGACATGCTTGTCCTTTCAGGAGCCTCATAGAATCTCTTGGCAGTGGGAGGCAGCAGGTGTGGCTCTCCAGTCCTTAAGGCAGCATCCCTGCGAAGAAGCTAGCTAAGTAGCGTATGGTGGCATGTGGCCCTAATGAAACATCATTTCGTATAGGAACAGAAATGGATTCTGTTGAAAAGACACTCAACCTTGCTCACGATAGGAACAGTGTAATTTAAAACCAAACTGAGGTACCATTTCCATGTAATGACCTGGCAAAGCTTAAGAAATTTAAGGCTCTGGAGAAGTAGGCACTTATCTACACTGCTGGCAGGACTGCAAATTGTTACAATCTCTGTGAAGAGCATTTTAGCAATATGTGTCAAAATTGCAAATGAATATGCCCTTTGACCCATTGTTCTGCTTCTAGGAGTTGGTCCTACAGAATCTGGCCCGCTTACAAAATAGTACATTGCAGCATTGTTTGTGATGGCAAAGCTAGAGACAACTTAAGTGTCTGTTAATGCGGAACTTGGTGAATAAATTATGACATATCTATTATAGAATACTAATTATCCCTTAAAAAAAAAAAAAAAAGAGGAGGAGGAAGCTCTTAATGTTCTAAGATAGCCTGAACTCCAGGATACATTGTTCAGTAAAAAAAGCAAAGGGTAGAATATATAGCATTTGTTTTTTACCAAAAGGGGAAAGAAATACTAAAAATATATGTATACACACACACTTTTATTTGCATAGAATATTTCCAGAAAGATACACAATAAACTTGATGCTGATTGTCTCTGGGGACAAGCAGTTGTCTCTGGTGGTGGCTGGGGGGATGGGTGGGAGGGGACAAGCATTAGAGGGACAGTCTCTCAGTATCTTTTTGTGCCCTTTGAATTTTGAATCGTGTGAGAGCATTACCTATTAAAAATATAATTTTTAAAAAAGATTTTATTTATTTATTTGACACAGAGAGAGAGAGACAGCAAGAGAGGGAACACAGCAGGGGAAGTGGCAGAGGGAGAAGCAGGTCTCCCAGTGAGCAGGGAGCCCAGTCCAGGGCTCAATCCCAGAACTCTGGGATCATGACCTGAACCGAAGGCAGATGCTCAATGACTGAGCCACCCAGGCACCCCTAAAAATATAATTTTTAAGCCCTTTTAAGCATGTTGTATATCTCTGTTATAACTTATTTTATGGTTTTACTTAGACTACAATTTTTTAATTACCATTGAACAGTTGAAAAATTTATTCTCTCTTTTTTTTTTTCCTTGGGAATATTATGATTTCTAGCATTTCTGGTGAACCAAGCTGTTAAGTGCACCAGAAGAATAAATTTGGAACAGTGTGAAAAAATTGAAGCCCTGGGCATGGCTTATTACAGCAGTCCTAAAATTCTGAGGGTAAGAATTATTTTGAAGTGAAATTTATTCGTCAGATTTGTTTTCTGTTCTTTTCACCCTTTTGAAGTATGACAAGTATAGAATAATTGCAGTACATGATTGACAACTCAAGTTAAAATTTTTCTTCTCTAGTTCTTTGGTATGCTGATACCAAAGATATTGAAATAATCACTTAAATGATTTTTATTTTTATATAGTTCATATTTTGCTTTTGTTCATTGTTTTGTTTTTGGCTTTCAATCATTTTGATGGTAACCAATAATTCTTTCTCCTAAATTAAAAAAAAAAGACTTTATTTAATAACACAAAACTTCAGAAATTATAAAAACATCTTAATGTCTGTGACAGAAATGATCACAGTAGCACCAAGAAGATACCTGAGAGGCCAGAAAAGATAGAAAATCCACTTTCTGTTGGCACATGAGATCAGCAGGAAAGAACAGGCAGGAAATAGGATTGCTGGCAAAGAAGAGGTCATGGGAGGTCAAGGCAGTATAGAGGCCCTTTCTTTCTGGTTGTAGTGACTGAAGCCTAGAGGGATAGGAGAGACCACTGGGCCTCTTATTTGGGGCATGCCATGGAGGGTTGTAAGAGGTGAAGATTTTGTTCAATGATGAAAAAAAATCATATGATTATTGTGAATTTCCACCACCTGATTTCCTTATTTTGGAGGGAACGGAAAAGGAGGTAGGGTGGTCCATGACATCAATATTCATCTGGACTGCAGTCTTCAGAATTGAGTTGAAGATCTTCTTCTCCTTTCCCATTCCGTCTTCCCCTCTTCTCATAAGTCAGCTACGTAGGCCTGTGAATTCTTCCAGTTATATACCTTCTCCTGGTGGTCCTGGCAGTAGCCTGTCAGGTGTGCAGGCAAAACTCTCTCAGCACAGGCCTCCCCAAACATGTCTACTCTGCCCCCTCCCTTTGACCCTGTAGGGTGTCTTGTGATGAGAAGTGGCGGGGGCGGGGCTGGGAAGTGAAGAGAGTACTCCTTTAGAAGGAGTCCTTGGCTCTGTTGGGGAGGGATGACCTCACTGTTGAGGGGCTTGGGCTGTAGGTGGGAAGAGCAGTTAGGAGGCATTGGAAATTGTCTGGGCCAGCGATGGTGGCCTTTTGGTGTGGACAGGCACAGCAGGGTGACCAGAAGGCTAAGAGCCACATCTTCCCCACAGCGCTGTGTCACTGGTGACCATGTGGAAAGTACCGAATGATTACGCTGAAGCAGGGAGACTTCCTGAGACCAGCTCTGTGGGGCTGCTGTATTCTATAAGCTTCCAATATGAAGGAAATGAATATAGAAGGAAGATAAAGCTACCTCTTTGATTATGACATAGATATGAAAATATGTGGGTTGTAAGTCTTGATTAAGGAAATTCCGTTTTCCTCCTTATGAAGTCTTTAATAAGGTGATTATGCCCTTTAACCGGTAGTCTGAAAAAGCAATAAAAATGTTTTTCATTGTACTTAACAAAATTTGTTGTTTCTTTTTGTTTAGGTGCCTGATTTAAGAACAGAGGCGGAGGTAAGAGTGTTTCTTGATGGAAAGTAAGCTAGTTTATAATACGTTGTCTTATTTCTAAGCCTTTTGAAATGAATACACTTAGTATTACAAGGATATCTTACTGCCAGTAACAACGTTTGCCAAAAGAATGAAATGAGGAAGCTCTGTAGTGGCCCAACCTTTCGTAATTACAAAAGGGGGAGGTTTCCAAATTCCCTGTTTTTGCAGTTAGCACTTTTTCACATTTAAATGGCATGACTCTGTTCATGGACAATGGGTGTGATTGGCTTCTCTGCTTTCCTGGCCTCCCTTGAGATCTTGGTCTCTTGTCCAGAGAGTTGGCTAGCTCCCAAGACACTGTCTGTCTCTGGTAGAAGATGGAAACCTCTTGCCTGTGTATGTCTACACCTGTGTAGGGGTGGAACACTCCTGGGGTAGCTTCAGGGGTCGAGGTGTGGGTGTAGGTTCTTTTGGACCCCAGCTCAGGGGTTCTGTCAGGCTGTGATCAGGTGGTCAAGATCTTTCTGTGGATATGTCAGAGCAAAGGAACATGGATCTAACACCCCTTATTTTTGGGTCTGTGAGTACAGTCCCCAAGGAGGCCTGGGGCGTTGGCCTTGTTATGGTCTCTCAGAGCTTGTGGGATTGGCTGGCCTTGGTTCAAAATTCAGCTTTGCCATCGTTTTCTCCTGTGACATGTGCCTCATTCCCCCCAGTTGTCCAGCAGATGGTAAGTGTCTGCCCCTGAGGCTGACGTGATGTCCCAGTGGGGGAATGCACGTGACAGGCTCTGTGCAGCGTCCGGCACCCAGGCAGCACCTGGGACAGCGATACCTGCTGTAACTGATTTCATTAAGTCTTGAGATACAGACGTGTTTGAGGTAGACACTTGGAAGGAAATAGTCTTGTGACTTTGGACTTCACACCTCTATGTGTGGGCCTGGATTTCCTCATCTGTGAAGGTGTTTTTCAAACTTGTTTTGGTTACAAAGTTTTTTCAAATGTGATCTCAAGCAGAACTCTCCCAGTGTGTAACTTGGATTGAATCCAAAGCCCCTGGTTGGAGCAGGGGTGGGGGCCAGAGCCCTCCACCTGCCCAATCTCCCTGTCTCTCTTCTTTTTGGTCCTTCTGAGGAATCTTTTGTTTTGTTTTGTTTTATTTTCTATTTTTTTTTCCTTTTGAGGAACCTTGTGGCTCCCAGGAACACAGGGTGAAAACCATATAATAGACTAGCTCTCAAATACCTCCAGCCTCTAGAAAGTGCTTTGATTCTACCATTCAGACCTTGAACTGTCTATGGGGGCAGCAAGCACATCAGCCTTGTTCATGACATATCTGTAGTGCTAAGGTGGGGCCTAGTATGTATTGGGCACTCAGTGGGTTATGTGTTCATTGAGTAAATGCCTAGGAGATCGATTCAATTAAGCAGGGAAGACCTACTGTGAGGATGATGGGATGTTACGGGAAGGCACGTACTGTGTGCCATATTCTGTTCTAAGTCCTGTGCATGTTTGAAGTCTGTTAGTTGTCTCAGCAAGCCTAGGAGGCAGGTCCTGTTCTTGTCCCTCCCTGGCACAGGAGTTACAGAGCAGGGGATTAGCTTGATTAAGGCTGTGAGGAAGTGGCAGACCTGGAACAGGAATCCCCAAAGACCTTACTCTCAACCGCGACCCTGGACGAGCTGTACTGTGTGCCAGGCCCCAAGTTACAAGCTTCACGCATATTCTTTCTGTGCACCCCATAGCCATGCAGTCCGGAAGTGGCGGGTGGGGGCTTATAACTCAGATCTGTGTGATACCAGAGCTCTAACGGACAAACATGTCAACTCATACCAGAGATTTGCTTGAAGTTCTTTTAAAAGGCAACTTCCAAGATTTGTTAGGTGATGAATATAAATATTGGATCCAGGCTTCTCATTAAATGCAGCCTGTTAGGATTGCCTGGAATAGTTAATATCTATTGAATCTATTGAATCTACCTATTGAATATCTATTAAACCATGACAGATGAAGTTATGGCTCTATAGTTTCATCGTTAAGTATCCGTTATGGGGCGCCCTGGGTGGCTCAGTGGGTTATCGGCTCAGGTCATGATCCCAGGGTCCTGGGATCGAGCCCCACATCGGGCTCTCTGCTCAGCAGGGAGCCTGCTTCCCTTCTTCTCTCTCTCTCTGCCTGCTTGTGATCTCTGTCTGTCAAATAAGTAAATAAATAATCTTTAAAAAAAAAAAGTATCCATTAGTCCTTTGCCACAGGGTAGTGTGGGAATGGGATACGGCCGAATAGGACATTCAGGAAACCAGAGTAGCCCTACCATTTTCATTCTGTGACCGTTCCAGTGGCTCTTGATAGACCAGGGCAGCTCTTGCCATCTACACTCGTCCCTCTGTCTTTCCAAAGCTTGTCTAAACTTGGTCCCTTTGGTTTCTGCCAACTGCGCCCACATACCACTGGAACGGCTCTGTCAGAGGCTGGTGTGGAAGGGTGTGCATTTTCTTGGAAGCCTGCATTATTGCGGAACCAGGGATCAGTAGGTTCGGATAAAGGACTCCAGGGTTGTCTTTCGAGGACATAAGCTGAAGAGCTCATGACCTGGTAGCAAGGGACTGCCTCCATAGGTCTCACACTCATCCACAGGGCTTGTTGCACAGACGGTGTTGTGGGGATTGGTGTTGCCCTTCGGCCACCCTTGTCACATGCAGCTTGTCTTTGCCTCTGAACCATGTCACGTTCTTAGAGGTTTGACTTACAAGGACAGTCACAGGTCTTCTTGGTCATGGGAGCAGACAGCTAAGGACTATTTATCTATATATCTATAAAATGACAGCTTAAATACTTAGTGATTTTGAATTATAAACAGCATGGTACACAATTGAGGGCACAGTTCAAAGCAATGTAAATGACTAGATACAAGGTAGATTCCTTCCCGAACAGTGGTTTCTAGGTGCTGACATTTAGTGCGGACGTCAGATTTGTCACACAGTATGAAGAGGCCCAACTCCTTAGAGGGCTGAGCCATATAAAGGATTGCTTGCTGCTTGTCACTCTGCTGCCAGTGGCCATAAATGAAAGATGTCCTTTAATAGCATTGGGTTATTCAGGACTTCCTGATTCTGCGTGAAAGATTTGTCTCTGTTTTCTCTTCCCATGATCCCACCGCCCAGTATGTACATGTAAGGGTGTGTGTAGAGGTTGTGCATGAATTGAGTCAAGCCTGTGTATAGGGAGGGTATGGGGATTAGGGGGATGTGTCCTGGGACTGTGGAGCATGTGCACGTGTGTGTACAGAGCGACTGCGCTGACTGGTAGGAGCTGTGCTGTGGTGGGGAGCACATGCACGCGTTGGGTGGTGTGATGGAGCTGTGAGTGTGTGTGAATGAGCTATAATTCACATACCATAAAACTCACCATTTTTAAGTGTACAATTCAGTGGTTTTTTGTGCATTCACAAGGTTGTGCAACCATCACTACCACCTACTTCCAGAACATTTTCATCACCTCAGAAAGAATGCCTGTGCTCATTAGCCGGCTCTCCTCATTCTTCTCCACTCCTCTCCCTCAGCCCCTGGGCAGCCACTAATCTACTTTCTGTCTCTACGAGTTTGCCTGTTCTAGACATTTCCTATAAATGGGCTCATGTAATATGTGACCTTTTGTGTCTGGCTTCTTTCACTTAGCATGTTTTCAAGATTCATCTATGTGGTGGAATGAATCAGCCCTTTATTCTATTTTATGGATATACGATATTTTATTTTTCCATTTATCAGTTGATGGACATTTGCATTGTTTTCGGTTTCTGGCTGTATGACTGCTGCTGAGAACATTTGTGTACAAGTTTTTGTGTGAATGTAGGTTTTCGGAGAGAACCACTTTTCAAGTTTGGGTTATATTCTCTAGTATTTCCTATGTACAGGCATGTACGTGTAAACATCTGCATTTTTACGAGTGTACAGTTGGAGTATGCGTGTTGTGCTGTTGTGTGTTTTTCCCTGCTCGGCAGTGTGTTCGCGGAGGTTTATCTTCAGGCTCTTGTCACTGTGACCTATTCATCTCTGCGGGGCAGTGTCCTCCATGAGTCAGCTCTCCTTCACTTCGCAGATCCCTGTCACTGTTCAGTCCGTCCTCGTGCAATCTCTGAATAAAACACTGACCCGGCTGGAGGACACGGTCAGATTGAACCAGATTCTGGTCGAGGCTGGGGATGTTAAAATCTGCACTAACGTCGTTCTCGAGGTAGGTGCCCGATTTGGCGCGGAAAGCTGAGTCTGTGTGTGGCAGACTCAAGCTGCATGGTCCTGAGGGGTCACTGGACGCCCTCTGCAGAAGGTTCTGGCTCATCCTGGGATATTGGTTCTTGACTTGCCCTCCTGCTTGCCGGCCCACTGTACCATTAGAGGATGCTTCTTTAGGTAAGGGCTCTGAAACAGTCACGTGTGATTTTTCTCCACAAACCTAGGGACTTTCAAGAATATGTCAGAATGTGTTTTCCTTTTTTTTTTTTTAAAGATTTTATTTATTTCTTTGACAGATCATAAGTAGGCAGAGAGGCAGGTAGAGAGAGAGAGAGAGGGAAGCAGGCTCCCCGCTGAGCAGAGAACCCGATGTAGGACTCGATCCCAGGACCCCGAGATCATGACCTGAGCCGAAGGCAGAGGCCTAACCCACTGAGCCACCCAGGCGCCCCAGAATGTGTTCTTGTTGCTGTTGTTTTAACACATTTCCCCTGCAGAGATCAATCACGTTCTGTTCAAACCTGCTGATTGGGAATTCCTGTAACTAGGTAGAGAGAGGCTCAAATGGCCCTGGCAGCGGGGGTGGTGCTGAGGCGTTACCTCCCGAAAGCTGAGGGGACAGGAGAGACAAGCTTCCACGAGTGGAGAAATGGGAAAGGACTTGCCCGCTCTGTGTACTTTGAAGTCCCGATGCAGCTGCCGAAACGCAGCAGGCACAGGTGTGTGTGGAGTTCCCTCTTGTTTTCAGGTGAAGTACAGCATCACGTACACAGACGCAGGGGAGGTAGCCCAGGCTGGCCTTGCTCTCCTCCTGGGGACGGTGAGCCGGGCAGTGGTCGCACTCGAGCAGAAGTTTGAAATTTATTTCATTCAGGTGAGTTTGATCAATGTTGTACATGTATTTAATTGCAAGTCAAAAAATCATAACTTCTTAGTGAAAAAAAAAATCTGTTGCGAAGTCTTACCATCTTTCCACCTCTACTAAACAAAGGGCTTTATGTAGCCTGTGTTTGTAACAAAATCAGGCAGAATCCTTGTATCTTTTTCCTTTCCTGGAATAAGATTCTCTTCCACGGGAGCTCCTTCTTTTATAGAACGATGCACTCCTACACTCAGCAGATATATTTATAGGTCTGAGTAGGGGGAGAAATTCTTTTATTGGTTAGAAATCCCAGATTTGACTGTGAGAAGTGTTTTATTTTCACCCTATTTCCTTATTAAAATGAGGATTATGGGGGGGGCATTTCTCCATTGTCTTTCAGCAAAATACAAAGCCAGTTCCTCTCAGCGGAAACCCTGGTTATGTTGTGGGGCTCCCATTAGCTGCCGGATTTCGGCCTCAGAAGGGATATCCTTTTTGGTTCTGTGGAGAAGGCTGATTTCCTGGTTTATGTATGTGTGGTGCTCTTCCCTTTATTGCTGAGGGTCCTGGGGGCTGGAGGTTAGTTTTGGCCTGGACTTCTTGGAGGGGGGTGCTCTAGGGGTGGTGGGTCTGCTGCACAGCAGACAGGGCCATGTGGACACTGGTGGTTGGGGGTGGAACAGCATGGCCCAGGGAAATGTGTTTTATAATGAAAATCTTAGGACGGAAGTTGACAGACTTTTAGATATATTTAATTACACACGCAAGCAGAAACTCTTAACTTTAGTCATTTGGAAAACTTGGAATGATTTTGGAGGAACAGTTTCTGAGGATTTTTCTTCTGGGAATCTACTCAAGGAAAATAGAACCATTTTTTGCTCTGCCCTGGGAAATAACTGTCAAGATCACAGAGGCCCAGAGAAGGGATATTTGGGTTTCAGTCATGTCTCATGTCACACACCTATCACCATGGTCTGAGAATCAGACTGCTTTAGTCCTGGGTGATAGTCCCTTAACTTTCTGTGAATATCTGGGATTATTCAGACCATGAACAGATTCGGACAACTTACTATTCTTCGTAGCCTAGCCGAGCAAGATTGCTTCGCAGTGGAGGGGATCCGGGCCCCAGTATTATTTGGTTACGACATGCAGTCTGGCTGTAAACTAAGGTAAGAGAAGAACTTGCAGCTTTTGGAACTTGTCTGAGTTGATCAAATCTCCGTATAAGCCAGCGAGCACCTGTGAAAGCTGCGGTGTGACCTGTTAGCACTAGTGACTGTACTTGTGTTTTCTAATTGTAATTTTCACAACCATAAACCATTTCTCGTGATTCAGAGGAAAACTGTTGCAGTTATTTTTCCGGTCACGTGTGGCAGGGTACAAATCCCAAGGCTTTCGTAGGTTTTAAGGTTGCACAGCACTTGAGGTCACAGTAAAAATACTTTGCTTGAAAGTCCTTCCAGTATTTCTGAATCTTAATATACGTGTTGCAACAAACCCAAGGAGAATAAGCCTGAATGTGGCCTCTGTTTTTATCTTTTTACTATCGAACGTATATAGAGTGTCAAATGTCAAACGGCCCTGCATGGCTTATAAAGACGCCAGCTCCTACCCTCATCTCTCCCACTCTGCAGGCAATCACTTGCAGCTCTTATAGCTGAGTTTTTGGAAATTTACTGCCAAATCTGTCGATAACCTATATGTAAAAACCTAACACTTGGTTTTATGAATTGTTGAGTTCCCACTATGGAAGACAAGGATTTGTCTCCCCTTTCTTCCCCTACCCTACCATACAGTCACTTACCATCCCTACGTCCCCCTAAGGTAATTACATCATTGTTTTGTTAGACTAACAGACACCATTTACATTATTCGTTCTGATCCGTTTAGACCAGTATTTCTCAGAAGGTGTTCCTTGGATTACATTTCCAAAGCGTCAGTAGGGATATGTCTGTGGTCCAGTTAATGTGTTTGAGGAACACCAGATTGAAGTTAAAAACAACAATTCCTTACTATAAGGACTTCTCAGAGCCTTTCATATGGTGAGCCTTTAATATAAGAGCCTTTAATATGGTGTGCTCCAGGAGGGACATAGGAATGCAATATTTCCCAAACTTTTGGTCACAGAACTCTCCTTGTACAGAGCCTCTCAATGGAACGCAGTTTGGGAAACATTGTTTTGTTTCTCCCTGGCCATTGTTTTGTTTCTTCCTGGCCAAAGCCAGAAGAGATTTGGCTTCTGTCAAATAATCCGTTTGGAGAGAGAGAATAAGGCAACTGGTGAGGGCATGCGTGCTGTTGAGGCCTGTGAGAACTGTTGGAATGAACAACAGCCCCATTCCACTGACCTCTTTTTCCTTCACAAAAGACTGCCCAAAGCCATGACGTGCCAGCTTGCAGTGCGGAGAGTGAAGAGCCTCCTGCAGGGCCAAGGCTTCCCGGACTATGTGGCCCCTTTTGGAAATTCCCAGGCCCAGGATGTGCTGGACTGGGTACCGGTCCACTTCATCACCCAGGCATCCCACATGAAGGTAAAGGGGAAGTTGAAGGCCACCTGTGAGTTGTGTCTCTTCCTCCCACTGCTCCTCGGGCCCCCGGGGTTTGGGGGGGGGCGGGTAGAGGCAGCTGGGGGAGCCACCTGTTGAGGCAGCTGGTGGCTCTGGGCAGGAACCCCGGCTTTGTTATCAGCTGGGCCTGGGTCTTGAAAACTGATTTTGCCCTTTGTTAGCTCTCTTGCCTTTGAGGCTTCGAGCTGTTTCTTCGTCTGTGAAATAGGGAGTGAGATCTATAGTATCAGCCTCATATGGTTGTTGAGTTCAATGAGGTAACATCTGTGGGGCCTCGGGGTCGCTCCAAACATAGGGATTCACCACCGTCCTGACTGTTCCTGTGATCATTGGTGTGACATGAGGCATCGTCATGAGACAGAGGAGTGTGAGGACTGTGGCAAGAAGTGAGACTCCTCCTTTGGGCATCGCTGTCCCAGCCATTGTTCCCTGGTCTATGAAGGCAGCCCACACGTGAGAGCTTTCCATTCCAAAGTTCCCCGAAGAGTTTAATGGAAGTCGACATCCTACAAAGAGGTTCCTGATCACACGTGATTCCTCTGCCCACCTTTCTCTTTTGTCTCAGCCGTCAGAGTGTGGGCGGCTGCTCTCCTGCTTATCCTTTAATCGCCCAGCTTTTGCTGGTGGAGGCTTCTCAGGCCTCTCATTATCTGCTTAGCATATTTATAGCGGGGGGGGGGGGGGACAATGGGGTGAGCACTCGCTCTCCAGCTCCGATCCGGCCCTCCTCCTGAGCCCCCAGCAGAGCCCGCTGATGACTCAGTCCCTGCTGTTCAGCGGCTCAGTCTTGGCTCAGTTCTGCGGCCTCAGTGAGGCAGGCGCCTGGCTTCTGGCTTCTCAGAGATGGGTGAAGACATTGTTGCTGCCCCCTCAGAAGGGAAAACAGGTTGGGAGGAGAGGCAGCGCAGACATGTGCACTGTCGAGGTCTGTGCTGGTGCAGGGAGCTCAGAGGCCTGGAGCGGGTTTTGCACCTACCTTGCAGGAAACTCAGGGGGCAGCGGCCCCCAAGCCTGCGCCAGGCCCGCGTCTGCTGGCTGCGTGTTGCCTCTTCTAATAACAGATCCTCACAGACTTTTCCAGCCTGCAACCTTCCTAAAAGGCAGTTCCCAGCTAAGGAGTTCCATCCGTGCCTTTTTGGCAGGAACCAAATTTAGCAGGCTTGCTAGCTTTTCATGCCCTGAAGAGGCATATTTTAAAAAGCTTGTTTTTGTGGGAAAATTTAAAACATACACAGAAGTAGAATATTACAGTAGAATTCCTTCTACCTGTCATGCAACTTCAGTGGTTATCACATTTGCCAACAAACACGATGTAAAGGCCCGGGACAAGGTTGGGAAGGCCCTGGCCCCCATGGCCACTCTTCCCCGGGCAGAGGCCTCAGGCCTGCTCCCACATCTCCAACCTGCTTGGGTCACATGGAGAATTCAGAGTTCGTATCTTTTACAGCTCATGGACTCCACTGTGTGTCATCCCCCCCAACCCCGTGTAACAGCTTAATTGCCAAGTGATGAGGTCAAATAAAGGAAAGCATTTATATTTCTTCTGGATAGCAATTGCGTTTAACTTCTATGACTAATGCCATCCTCTCCCTCCTCCCCACCCAATGCCAGCTTCTCCCCTCAGGAATCTCTGAGCCGGATGAAGTCGGGCCGTTAAGGCCCAAGGTTCCATGGTTTGGTGTTGGGAGCTCCACAACTTCCAAGTAATACTGGCTTCTTCCAAAACAGGAGAGGATGGAAAATGATGCTTTAGGTGTTAAAATATTTTTGGAGCATTGAGTACTTGAAAATATGTGCTCTCAGCTGTTTTTAACTGAACTTCGAGTCTCTTCACTCTCTTGTTCAGAACATTTTGTAATATGTGAAACATTTTATAATTAAAACTCTGAACTGCAGATTAAGTTTGACATGAGGTTGTGTAATGTTCAGATTGATTAATGGCATTTTGTTGTGTAGGACTCTTGCCAGCTCCCTGTGGCTTTGGTAATAGAAGTGAAGTGGACTAAATACGGGTCCTTACTAAACCCACAAGCTAAAATAGTAAATGTGACTGCAAGTCTCCTCTCATCCTCCTTTCCTGAGGTAGGTCTAACTTGGGTTTCAAGGTCTGGGTAAAGATATGAGTCCAGACAAAACTCAAGTGTGATAATGAAATTTATTTCGTGAGAGAATTATTGAACTTTAATCTGAATTCTTAAAACAATTCAGCAATCATTTTATAAGAGAAAAAAATCCCACTGACAACAGTTGACGCTAGCATTCTTGTTCGGATTTGATCTTTAAAGTTCTTTGAAAATGGAGTTGTGACTGACACTGGTGGGTTAGGACAACCTAGGGAAAAACTCTCTCACCCAAGTGAGCAGCCGAGGAGCCCTCCCCATGCCTCGGCCGGCCGAAGGGAATGCAGCCTGTCCCGGCTTTGTTATCCTGAGCACGTGAGCGCATGCCGAAAGGCAGGGCTTGCAACACTCTTTTCATTACAGACCAACTCAGGAAATGAGAGGACGGTTCTCATTTCCACTGTGGTTACTTTTGTGGACGCATCTGCACCTGCCGAGGCAGGCTTCAGAGCTCGGCCAACCATCAACGCCAAGCTGCCGTTTAATTTCTTCTTTCCGTTTGTTTGACGTAAGTTGCTAATCACCTCTAGAATCGCGTGCTGTAGGGCCTGGACTCCTTGGAGACATCCTAGTATTCTACCTCTGACCCATGGGGTTACCCTCCGACCACACACTACCCCTCTGCCCTCACTCCCCTCCTTTTGGAAGTTTTATTCTCCTCGGTTGGACCTTAGAACGGGGCACCGTCTGGTCTTGGTGATTTCCGGTCCCATCAGCACATAGGTCATGTGCGGAAACCAAACTGCACCTTTGGGAAGATGGTAAAGGGCACAGACCCGGAAGTAGAGCAGGTGTCGAGGGTTTGTCCAGCTTATGCGTCCTCTGCTTCAGTGTGAGTTATTTTTTAAAATACTCATTGTTTGTAGTTCAGGTTTTCTTTTCAGGTCCCACGGAAATGAGTACAAAAATAGCAAAATATTGTATATAAAATCATGCAAGTAGCGGACTCGGCCTCATGAGGGGATCTTCCCCCCAGTGTCTTCATTCTGTGGAGTCTTGGGTCTAATTGCTGTTTCAGTGGCAGGCACCGGAGCTCTCCATGTGGTGAGCTGCACGGGATGCCACAGAGCAGTTCCAAGCAGTGGATGCTGGAAAGGATAGAGTAGGAGGGCCCAAGGGAAGGAGTTTCTTTTATATGTTAATTGTACAGTAATTGAGAAAAATGTTGTCAGGAGGTAGAACAAGGTGGAGCCAGTTAGAAGATGGAGGCTGCAGAGGAGGGGGCTGGGTACCAGAGAACAGCTCTCTGGCGGAATCTGCACGGAGAGGAGCTGCTTAGAACAGCTTAAGATGGTAAGACTTTTCTAGAATGGGCTGGTAGCTAAGGTAGCTTCCTTTCCTCTTTTGTCTTTCAGAATGCTCATATGAAAGGATGCCTTGGTTCCTCATACATGTGAAATGTGAAAAAGTATATTTGATGAGATTAAATTTTATATACAACTTCATACTTTTCCAGCTTTGTCGTTCATTTTCAAGCAACAGTCCAGAGTTCAACGTGGGAAGATATAGTTTGTGGTACATTGTGATACGGGGTGAGAATGGGATGGGAAGCTCTTGGTCATGCCAAGACAGAGCAAGCCTTCCCACAGACTTTCCCTCCCAGCCCCCCAAACCCGAGCTGGGTGGGGTGAGGCAAAAGCATCAAACCAAACCTCTCCCTGAAATGGCCCCAGGAGGGGCAGCTGTCTTTGTCATCAGAGGTACACACCCGTGAGGCAGGGGTCTTCTCTTTGGGACGGAGTAGGCACACGTCTAGTTGACCTCAGGAAGGAGTCCGTTCTGTCTCAATAGCTTGTTCAGTCTTTCAATTTCTCGTTCCTATCATTACAAAAGCAGATAATAACTCAGTTTACCTGCCGCACCTCACCAGGGATGTGGCAACCATTCAGTGGGCCCCAAGGACGCAAAACTGAATGAATGCTACGCTCCTGGTGGGGTCTGCTAGCGGACCTGCCACAGTCAGCTGGGGTCCACTGGGGAACAGCAGTGACAAGAGGTCCTCAGGGAGGGGCACCTGGCACAGCTCTGGGGAAGGAGGCGATGCCTAATCTGAAAGGACAAGGAAGACTGAGCCAAGGGCAGTGTCCAAGCAAGGACCTGGCAGGGAGAAGCACTGTGCTAAAGGCAGACAGATGGCATTTTCCCAAAAGTGTCTTCTTACCTTTTCAGAGCAGCTGAATTCAAGGTGTTGGATCTTGGCGGCCAACTGTATATTTATCTGTTTTAACCTCAGCAGCTGCCGTTCTGAACGTGTCTTAACTGAGATAATTATTCCTGTAAAATAATTGAGGGTCTCAGTGACACAGGTTTGTGATTTAACCACTTGAAAAGAAACCTCTGTCCTCCTTCCGAGTGTGTACAGTTGGGCAGAACGGTGGCAGACAAAACAGTCCGTCGCTTAAAGGCATTAGAACCAGGAAGGTCAGATTTTTCATTTCTGAGCTCCTCACTAACCAGTAGGGAAATATTTCCCTCCAGCTCACACGGGCCAAGAAATCCTTTATTGGTCGCTTGGCCAGATGAGTGTTAAACAACCTCACACAGAGCTTGTTGACGACAGCGCCGCTGCCCAGCCGTCAGACCGCCGCTTCTGGTTTCCCGCCTCCCACAGGCACAGCCAGTCGGGTTTAGCTGTCAGGTGAACAACTCCCTAAGGCTTGGCCAACAGAGGGGACATCAGCCTTGTCTGATGGCTCCCACATGCCCACGTCGCAGTGGGGACGTGGCCTCAAAAGAATGTGTAGCAACTGGGGATGCTCCGTGCCTTCCAAGTGAGAGCGACCATGTCTGGACTTGGTGGGCGTGAGGCCCGGGAGCACTGGCCCCTTGTCGCTGGCATTCTTGGTTGTCTGAGTCCAACTGAAGCCTGTGTTGCTTTTTTAGACCTCTCATGTCCTGCCACAAAATTTGACGGCAGTGCAACAGTGGGCATTAGGCAGTCCTGTGGCCTGCCACCATCCAGACCAAGAAAATGAACAAATCTCAGGGATTTGGTTTTATCTGCAAAAGCAAATCTCACCATGGTGTGACACGAGAGTAAAGGGTAGTAACTGTGTTCATGAGTCGTTCACCGTAATGGTTTATCTACCTCCGTGATATATAACCTTTGCACAGAGCGTTTTTCTATTAAATGAGTAATCAATTAGCATAAGCATATTCAATAGTAAGTGAATAACTTCCTTTATTTCCCTTGACAGAGCCCAAATGAATATTCTTAATGGGCTTTCATGAGTAGATCCACACTGGCTCCTAAAGCCAGGGGGAGCCCCCGGTGCCCACGGGCAGAGCCCCTCACCCAGTCCTGTGTCGGAGACGTGACACTCCTGCCAGCAGGCGAGGCTGGGACAGGACCCACTGTGCTGCCCAGTGAAGGAGCGCCGTGTCAGAGGACAGGCCTGCCTCACTCGCTCACTGGCGATGACTGAGCCTGTCGTGCTGGGCCCTCGTCTAGGGACTCCCAAGCCAGCTGGACACCCAAATCACCGGGTAGCGCTTCAAAAATAGACACCCTGTGAAAGGTCTACACCAGACTTCAAGAAGCACTGGAGGTGACTCTCATGGGGTGGGTTCACAGCATTTGGGCACCTCTGACTAGGGTTCGTTCCCCAAGAGCTGAGCAGTTAACAGCAGGAACATGGCTTTTCAGACACGGAGCCTCCCCGCACCACGAGGGTGTGTGTGAGGAACAGGACCTCCACCATTTCCCCAAGAGTGTTCCCTACAGCCAAAGTCTACGACAGGCTAACAGGTGTTACTTCCCCGGAAGTGTCTACTTGGTCAATTTGGGGAACTCGGCGTTCTGTCTTCCTCATGCCCACAAGTGCTCCGACTTCCTCGAAAGAGCAGAATCTAGTGTCCAGCATTTCTCAGCTTACTTCACCCTTTCTGGATGGTGCCCTTCCGAGGGGGATGGGATTTGGTAGAACATTCTTTAGGAAACACCAAATTAAAAACAAAGGTGTTCTCAGAATCAAGCTGGAGGGACTTAATCAAAGCTTAGTGTGACCCTTTCTACAAATGCCTTCTAATAATCATGAAAACGAGGCCTAATGGAGAAAAGTGGTTCCTCTTAAAGCATCTGTAACTTGATATAAATTTGTAGCCACAGAGGCAGTGGTGGGACACAGACCACTTCATTTTTCTCTAGAAAACACCAGCCAGGAAGAGGAGGAACCATGACCTCTGGGTCCAGTCCCAGGCTCCGCCCAGCCAGCTGTCCCTCTGTGGCCTGGGAGGACAGGGGACATACCGTTGATGATCCGGGCCACCCGCCACAGCCGAAGCAGAATCAGCAGGCCAAGAGCCTCAAACTGGTGCTTCTGGAACAGGAGGATAAAGTCGAGGATGAAGGAAACCACCACCACAATGGCGTCCAGGATTTCAAACTTGTGGTGAAAGAACTCCATGCGGAAGACAAATAATTTAAAAAAAATCTCCATCATAAAGAAGGTCAGGATGGCAAAGCTCATGTAGTGGAAGACCTGGAGAGGACAGAAGAGGCACAGTGAGAACAGATCCAGGGCTAACCACAGGCCGGGGCAGGGCACACACACGCGCTGGGCTGCAGAGCACCTGCCTGGGCACCACAGAGCGAATGCACTTGACCCATCCCAAACTCCCCAGGGGCTGTTCTCCGACTGCAGCCACGGCTGGGACACCACAGACAAGGGCAGTTGGGCAATGGCAGGTTTGAAAACCGCCATGCCCTTCGGCCCAGTAATTCCAAATGCTAGTATTTCATCCCATAGCTCTGCTCACACGGGCACAAAGGCATGTTGTAGGGATCTTTGCTGTAGCATCATTTGCAGACATAAGATTTTCTACCTTGTTCATAGAATAGAAATTCTATTGGAGGGCACTTGTCAAATGCATTATAGTCCCTCCATATGGAGCGCTATGCAATTGTTAAAGACCAAGGCTGACTCCTAGGTATTGACTAAAAATGATTACTTAGGTAGATGGTAATTGAGGAGGGTTCCTGGATCTTGATTTAGAAATACTAGCTCTTGGGGCACCTGGGTGGCTCAGTGCGTTAAGCCTCTGCCTTCGGCTCAGGTCGTGATCTCAGGGTCCTAGGATCGAGCCCCACATCGCACGCTCTGCTCGGCAGGGAGCCTGCTTTCCCCCTCTCTCTCTGCCTGCCGCTCTGCCTACTTGTGTTCTCTCTCTGTCAAATAAATAAAATCTTTATAAAAAAAGAAATACTAGCTCTCAGTAAAGTAACCATTTCCATTCTAGGACAGGGAAAGTACAAAGGCAGCTGGGACATTATTTGGGGCCAGAAAGCAAGAAAATGCTCAAAGACTACATAGTCATCTTAAAAGGATAGAGCAGTTAGTCTGAAGAGACAGTGACAAAATTTAGTAGGACAATTTGGACCCTGAACAGAATGACTATGATTGTAATACAATGAATAAAAAAAAAATTCATGAGTCCTTGGTGATACATACACATACGGGAAAAAAGGAAAGCTCTTCTATATATGTATAAAACCAACAAAACCACCCACCTACCAGATGTAAAATGAATGCCAGAAATCTCAGTTTGCATCCCCCAGTGTACTCACTGACTTGGGCAGTGACTGTCAGGTGGATGCGAACTGGGGAAGAGGATCTTTGCACAGCAAATTCTAACTGCAAAGGGAAAGTGGCCCTGGACAGTGGAAGAGCTCACACTTTCTGCCTTTGGTGATGCCAGCAAGTATCCCTGTAGTGACATGCCATGCTGTAAAGGAAACAGCCCACTAGCTAAACGCTCTTGCTTACGGAGCCTCTGGACCCAACCTCTGGTGCATGGGGATTAAGGGAACAAGTTGAAGGACCTCTGGGGAAACAGACAAATCCAGAATGTGGGACACACTACGAGATGACTAGCTGGACTCGGGGGGCGGAAAGAAGGTGGGAGAGTGATGCCTGGGTCAGTCGGTTAAGCATCTGCCCTTGGCTCAGGTCCATGATCCCAGGCTCCTGGGGATCGAGTCCCACATCAGGCTTCTTGCTCAGCAGGGAGCCCACCTCTCCCTCTGCGGGCTGCTACCCCTGTTTGTGCTCTCTGACAAATAAATAAAACTGTAAAAGAAAAAAAAGAAGAAAAAGGTGGGAGGACTCTTCTAAATTAAAAGAGCCTGAGGAGATATAACCAAGTATCGTATTAGAAGTCTGGATTCTAGTTTGGGGGAAAAAAAAAAAAGCATTAGAACATATTTTTGGGGCAAATGAGGAAATTTGAATATAAGCTGCTCATTATGGAATTACTGATAATTTTTTAGGGGTGATAATTTTTTAGGGGCAATTATGGTTCTGTAGGAGAAAGACCTTATTCTTAGGCATTTCGAAGTATTTGTCTAACTTACCTTCAAATGGTTGAAAATACATGGGTGTGTTTATGGATATACAGAGGATAAAATAAATGTAGCGAAAAGTATATTTGTCATTTTTCATAATAAAAAGTTGAGGAAAAAGGCACAAGACAGCCACCTGAGTAGCTCAGTTGGTTAAATGTCTGCCTTTGGCTCATGATCCTGGGCTGTTGGGGGGGGGGGTCCCTGCTCAGCAGGGAGCCTACTTCTCCCTCTGACCCTCCCCTCTGCTTGTGCTCTCTCTCTCAAAAAAAAAAAAAAAATCTTAAAAGACAGTACAGCAGGTATGTCACTGATCATGTTAAAAGTAGAGGGAGAGGAAAAACATTCACCCATCTGTGGAAGGCCTCGGGCCGGCCACAGAGGAAGAGCCAGCAGCTGCCTTGGGAAGCCTGCGCAAATGTCTGGGATGGGCTCAGGCAGAAGCTGTGAATTGGGGAATAAACAGCAGGCAGATCTCCAGCATAGGGACCACGTCAGAATGTTGACAGGCTGAGAGATAGCTCATCTGCCACTAAAGATGGGACAGTATCCCTTTCCTGGTCAGACCCTCCCTCTAGAAGCAGTGACAGTGCCTCAGCTCAGCGGTCTAGCACCACTCGAGATTCGAGCCTTCGAGTGAGATGAGGTTTCCTGCTTATAGTAAATGCTTGTCTATAATTTGGAAAGAAGACATTTTCTCTGCTCTTTGGTTAGAAGCACCCAATCAACTCTGTTAAGGACTTGGTACTCCCAGAAGGGTGCTCTCTGCCCCCCTCTGCCCACCTCCGGAAAGACACAAGTGAATGGTATTTTTTTTTTTTTTAAAGATTTTATTTATTTATTTGACAGACAGAGATCACAAGTAGGCAGAGAGGCAGGCAGAGAGAGAGGAGGGGAGGCAGGCTCCCTGCTCAGCAGAGAGCCCAATGTGGGGCTCGATCCCAGGATCCTGGGACCATGACCTGAGCCAAAGGCAGAGGCTTAACCCTCTGAGCCACCCAGGCGCCCATAAGTGAATGGTATTAACGGGCCGCTGGCCCCCTACCTTGGCAGCGTAGTCATTCTTATCAAGCTCGATGATCTTCAGGTCCAGAATGAGCTCAGCAAGGACCAGGAGGGCATCCAGAATGACCAAGCAGATGATGATAACCTGTAGACCAAGGGAAGGAGCGAGAAACCGTGAGACCTAAAAAGGGACCCTCCTTCCATCTTTAAGGGCCAGAAACATCTAGGGAAAACCACTGGGTGAAGATGCCAGGGATGGGAGGCCGCTGCCCACAGCTGCACACCTTCCAGGCCTGTGGGACCCCCGGGGCAGTGCCTGTCCTCCCAGATCTGCTCTGCCTGGCTCACTGAGTGACAGTCACCACTGGTCCTCTGTATTCATTCATTGTTTCTCAGCATCTCTCAAGCCAAACTGCTAATTCCTAGATGGCAAAAAAATTTTTTTTAAGTTTTAATTTTCCTATTTCTGGAGGTTTTCTTGCCAGGGTACACCCAGAACAGATGCTCAATAGATAATTAAAAAGATCCGCCTCAGAGATCTGAGTCATGGAAGTCCCTCCAGGGACTGCCGTCCTTGAGGCAGTTGGATTAAGTGACGTCCACCGTCCACATAACAGGCTCGTCGGGGGGGGTGGTGATGGGCAGATGGTGGGGACAGGGTGCCAGGAATGTGCACTCTCACCGACAGTGGGGAACCCAGTGCGACAGGTGGTGAAGACACTGCTGGGGGCCCTAATGGCAGGGTGGTAGAAACAGCAATGGAAGAAGCCCAACAGACAGTGTGTGACCCCTCTCTTCCCTTGGGAATTCTGGACACCCCCCCCCACTGCCTCCCTTGGGACCCTGCTTCCTCCATCTGATAGGGTCAGGTGGATTCAATGGGATCATCTGCCATTTTCTCGCCAGTGCCGGCACCTTCAGGTGAACCGAACAGGCCTTGGCAAAAATAGACTAGTAAACCTCCTGACCACTTCAGCCCCTAGCTAATCACTTCAGTAATTAAAGCGTTCGAGCACGTGGTTTACTGTGAAAACTGCACGGCAAAGTAATGATGTTTTCACACATATCCAAATTCCGTAGCTCAATAAAGATCCCCAAGCCTCTGGCGGGTGGTTTTTCCTTTTTCTTTCTTCCTTCATCCTTGGTTTTATTTTAGAGCTAACAGGACATGAGAGCTCATCTGGTCTAAAACCAAGGCACAGAGACATCAAAAACAGAGTGAATTTTTAGCCATAAAAAGGAAGGAGCCCTGGGGTGCCTGGGTGGCTCAGTGGGTTAAGCCTCTGCCTTTGGCTCAGGTCATGATCTCAGGGTCCTGGGATCGAGCCCCTCATTGGGCTCTCTGCTCAGCGGGGAGTCTGCCTACCCCCCATCCTGCCTGCCTCTCTACTTGTTATCTCTGTCAAATAAATAAATAAAATCTTAAAAAAAAAAAAAAAAAAAAAAAGGAGCCCCTGCCACACACCACCGTGGGAGTGTGCAGCAAAGCCACAAGTCCGAGAGCAGCAGCTAGACCCAGAGCAGGCCAATCCGTACCCGCAGCAGATCAGCGGTGTCTGGGGTCTACTGTTTGATGGGTACCCGATCTCCTTTTGGGATGATGGAAACATGATGGAAAAGATAGTGGTGCTGGCTGCACGGCGTGTGGAAGTGCCACATAAATGCCACTGAATTACTGACTACAATGACCAACTTTATGTGAGTTCCTCAGTTAAGAAAAGCCAGACAGACTGACCCAAGGTCACAAAACTACAATGCCTGGGTCCCGGTGCTGGCCTCTGTTAACTAATCCCCAGACCCTGAATGGGCCACTTCACAAGGCAGTGCTGTTTCAGAGGGGAATCACGTCACAAAGAGAAACGCCAAGAATTCAGGGAAGCTGGTTAATTCCGCATCCAGAAGGGGCGAAGAGGGCCGGGCCCAGCAGGAGCAGGCAGTGGTGTGGCGCGCTGGCCCTGGGCCCGCTCCCGTGTTAGCCTCCCCCGACCCTGGCCCACCTCTCAAGGCCAATGAGCCTCCCATGGGAATGCTAAGTTTCAACGTCCTCTTGGGGAAAATGGGGCTGACCACATTTTCCTCCCTCGAATGACAGCAGGAGCATGACCTAATAAGGTAACGTGTGATGGGTGCTTAGTACAGGGCCCCGCAGTAGTGAGCAGATAATGAAGTGAAGCTCCTTGACCTTCACGACTGTCCTCCCCTGGCTCAGCTACACTGTCCACCCACGGATTCTACAGAGGCCCAACACGCCCAGTATTCCCTCCCGTGCTTGTACCATCCTGTGTGAGAAGTGACAGCAATTAACTGTACACCAGGCCACCTAGGCTGCTTCGAACCATGGGAACAGGTAGAGAGAATGTATCCCAGAAAGGGATTCCAGAATCCTCTTGTGTGCTGATTCTACTGGCTGAGATCAAAGCCCTGAACTGGTGTCCCCACTCCATGCTGGTCTCCCTGAGCCCCTCCACAAATCCAGTCATGTCACTCCCTCCACCCACACATTGAGACTTTCCATGGCTGCCCAGTGCCCACAGAAGACCTTCTAGCACCTCCTCTCTTACCAAGTTCTCCCTCTACTCGCTACACGTAAGCCATATGGACCCTTCTCGATTCTAGGAGTGTGGCAGATCCTTTCCTATCTTGGGCCCTTTGCAAACACAGTCTCTCTGCCTGGAAAGTTCCTCCCTTCACCATTCACAGGGCTATAGGTGTCAGATGAAATGTCGCCTCCTCCACCACATGTCCTCTGACACCCAGTCCTAGGTCACGTGCTCCTCTCAGGATCTCTCAGAGCCTCTTTCTGTCTCCCTACAGAGGGCTTCTCTTCGCTTGCAACCAGCATCAGTCTGGGTGATGGTTCCTGGAGTGCCTGCCTCTCCACAGACCATCGGTCCTCTGAGAGTAAGGATCGGGCGTACCCCATGCTTGCTGCTCTGTGCTCCACCACCTCCCCCCAGCAAAAGTGTTCAAGAAGGAACTGTCCAGTGAATGACTAAGCATCTCTGCTTATGTTTCAACGGTCAGGCTGCTGCTTCTCCAGTAGGACTGTCCTTAGAGGTCCTGGCTCAGCAGGCAGCCCTGTGGCCCAGTCAGGAGCCGAAGGACCTCCCAGAGCAGGGAGACCCAGGGTTCCCCTTGCAGCTGGAAGGAAACTGGCTCCTTATGCTTCTGAAATTGAGGGTTTGGGATTTCAACCCCAACAACTTAATATCATGTTTCCTCTCCTGTCACAGCCACAGAGGAACGCACTGAGCTGTGAGGCCTGCTGGGGAGTTTGGCCTGTTTCATTTCTCTAAGCTATACGAAAGCGAGAAAAAGACCAAAATAAAAAAAAAAAAACACATTTTTTTCTTTCTATTTTACCCTGGAACAAAGGCAGCCATGGGAGAAGCAAGGGCTGTTTCTGTTTCCAGAGGGGAAGTCAGCTCTAGGGAGGGACTAGTTTATTTCGGTTTAGGACACCTGCCACAGGGTCCCCAGAATGGCTCCATTACGGGACCTGGGCTGACAAGGCGCCACGTGCTTCCCTAGTGTCCTGGGCCTCCTGTCTTCTCCTGGGGCCCTCAGAACAGGCTTCCAGACACCTGCCTGCCTGCTTCAGGGCTGGGGTCTGAGACAGGACCCACCAGACTCAGCCTGTGTTTGTCCTTCAAAGTCAGAAGATGCTGACAGACACTGAACCCTTTGCTGTTCTTTGAAGTCCATGTGTCCCTCCCGTGTTCTCCCCTCAGCGCACCTGGAGGTCAGCGGTGGGCTACACCAGGCAGATCACTCCACAAAATAGGAGACTGAAGCCCCCATGGTGATAAGTCTGGGAGGCGCAGGACCCTCTTGGCTTTGTTCAACTCAGGGTGGACACTCGGTATTGGCCGAATGAACGCAGGAACGTTTTCTCTGCCTCCAATGTCTACCTTTTCATTGACTTTTTGTGTAGGTAGTAAAACCTGCATAACCTAAAGCTACTGTGACAAAATGTGAACCATTCTGAAGTTGGCATATGGTTCAAGGGCACCAAGCACCCTCACAAGGTGTGCAAGCATCACCATTACATCGTTCTGGAACGTCTCGATGACCCCACGCGGAAACCTGTATCCATTAAGCAGGCCCTTGCCATTCTGCCCTCCCTCCGACTTGGAACCCCCAGTCTGCCGTCTGTCTCTGTGGGTTTGCCTGTGGTGGACATTTCGCATCAACGAACTCAGACAACAGGTGGTCCTGTGTGTCTGGCTTCTCTGAGTGTCCCCTTGTCAACGCTCATCCCCTCATGGCAGGTGTCACTGCCTCCTTCCTCCTCACGGCCGAGTATGGACAGCCTACATTTTGTTCCTTCACTTGTCAGGGGACAGAGCTCGCACTGACTCTGGACCATGACTTTACCCCTGACGGCACGGGGTCTGCCCAGCGCTGGACGGGGCGCCTGACCCAGGGTTAGGGCTCAGGAGACCGACGTCACACGAACAGGGCGTTGGCAGAGACGGGCCCCCACCCCGGCCTCGTGACTCTTGGCTGGCTGCTCTGCCCCACCCCAGGCATCCTGGGCCTCTGCCCGCCTACCTGAAACCTGTGCGAGCTGAAGAGCTTCCTCAATGTGGCCCTGAAGTCGAGTGGGGGCCGGGGCGCTGGGCCGGGGGCTGCCGCTGGGTCGGGGGCTCTGCCCTCCTCCCCGGAGGCGGTTGCCTGTGGCGTCTGTTCCTCGTCCTCCTCGTCCTCCTCATTCTCCCACTTCTTGTAGTTGATGTTCCAGGCGTGGTAGTCATCCCCGACAACGGTGAAGTGCTTCAAGAACTTGCTCATCCTCCGGGCCGGGGCTGCCCTGGCCCTGCGGGAGCCGGCCTGCGGGAAGGGGAAACAGAGGCAGTGCTGAGGCGGGGAGGCCTCTGAGCCCGTCCACACCGCTCGGACCTCACGCTGCTCTGGCGGGGAGCAGGGCCCAGGCTGGGCCAGGCCGCAGAGGGGAAGACAGCCCTGTGGCCCTCGGAGCACCAGGCAAGCAGGGACTGTGAGGTCACGGTGGTTTCTCGTGCATTTATTTTTGGAATCCAGGGTTCTAGTGCCAGTGAGGCAACAGGAAACCCCAGAACCCATCAGGCCTGTCACTATGGTCGGGTTGGCAATAACCAATGAAATTGGTACCACAACCCGGTCACAAAATACCCACCACGTGTAAATACCGGAAGAGTGGCCCCATGGTTCAGAGACATCACAACCTGAAAAACCGGAGGTGAGAGTTGGCGGGGCAGGGGTGTGGAAAGCCAAAAGTAAAAGTACCCAGAGTTTCACAGAAAAGGGAGGGCCGCCCCCTTCATGCCGCAGATCAGTTCTTGAAATGTGAGCGGCAAATACATTTTCCTAAGTGCAACCACTGCAGTTTGAAGTGCGTGATGGACAGAGGTTTAAAGACAACTGCCTTCAAAGCAGAAAGCAAATAATCTTCCCTTTGCCCAACTGACCCTACTGGATATCAAATTTCCTATAAAGTTCAATAATGAAAACTTTGGGGTAAGGGTCCAAGAATGGGGACTATGATCAGCGGAACAGGAAAAAAGAGCCCAATCAGACCCATACCCCAATAGGGCACTGGGTGTGATGGAGGTGGCGTACAGATCAGTGGGAAAAGGCTAGAGAGGCCAGGACACCTGACCTTCATGACAGGAAACAAAAAAACAAAACACATGAAAGAGCCCTACCTCACACCCTACACAGAATAAATTTCAGATGCATTAACTGTAACATATAAATTTTTTTTATAAATTAAATTTTTTATAAATTTTTTTATAAATTAAAAAAAATTTAGAAGTCTTAGAACAAAATATAAGCAAGTACCATCAGGACCTTCAAATAGGGAAAGGTTGCTTAAATAAGACACAAAACAAATGGACAGACTTCATTCATCAAAACTAAAAGCTTTTATATTTCTTTCTCTCTCTCTCTCACATAGACATACACAGATACCATACACAACCCTAGAATGACATACCATAGTATGGGTGGGACACACACATATTTGCAATGTACTTAATAGGCATTGTTTAGTTCCGTGTCCAGAATATATAAAGAAATCATACAAATTAAAAAAAAAAAAACGGACAACTCCTTTAAAAACTAGGCAACTGTATTGATAGGTCACCTACAAGGAAACCCAAATGGCAGAGACACATGTCATGCCCTTCCTTAAAACTTTCACATGTGGTGTTTTTTTTTCCTTTCCCAGCATACTCAGGCCTTCCTCCCGGAAATGTTTCCCCTCCCCAGACAACTGCACGGTTCACACCTTCACTTGGATCAGGCTTCTGCTCAAATATCACCTCCGCTGAAACCTGGTCTGGTCGCGCTTCCCCACACCATATCCCCTTACCCTGCTTCACTTTTTTTTTTTTTTTTAAGATTTTATTTTTAAGTAATCTCTACATCCAACATGGGGCCCGAACTCACAACCCTGAGATCAAGAGTCTCATGCTGTAAGCCAGCCAGGCGCACCTCATTTTTCTTAATTGCATTTATTGGTGACATTACATATGAACTTATTTATCTGTTTATTATCTGCCTACACCCCCCCCCCCCCCAAGACTCTAAGCTCCATGAGAGAACTTTTTCCATTTTGGGCAAGTGGCCTATCCAGTGTCTGGCACTTAATACACACTCAAAAACACCCAAATATTTAAGTGACTAAATGAATACATAAATGTGGATACGTCTTTACAAATACATTAAGGGGCACCTGGCTTGCTCAGTGAGTGTCCGACTCTTGGTTTCAGGTCAGGTCTTGATCTCATGGGTCATGAGATCGAGCCTTGCGTCTGGCTTTTCACTTAGCAGGGAGTCTACTTAAAGATTCTATCCCTCTGACCCCTCCTGCACATGGGCACACATGTTCTCTCTCGTTCTCTCTCAAATAAATCTTTTTCTTTATTGCACTTATTGGTGACATTATATAAGAAAATATATTTGAAAAACATTTTTAAAATATATATTATATAATATTATTAGACTATACATTAGAAAAATACTTTTCTAATATTTCTAAATTAGAAAAATTAAAAATATGTTGAGTTTAGGGGCACCTGGGTGGCTCAGTTAGTTAAGTGTCCGACTTGATTCTGGCTCAGGTCGTGATCTTAGGGTTGTGAGGCTGAGCCCCATCTCGGGGTCTGTGCTAGGTGTGGGGCCTGCTTAATATTCTCTCTTCCTCTCCCTCTGCCTCTGCCCATCATCCCCCCAAAAAACATATATGTTGAATTGAAAAGGAAGACATAGAAGAATATGAACATAATACCACTTATGTAAAAATTTAAAAATACATGCAAAGTATTACTATATGCTGTTTTGGGAATGTATAAAATGGAAGTGTAAACATACAAAAGAAGGGGATTTCTGCTTCTGGTCATGATAGAGTAACTGGTAGCAGATTAAGGCTCTTGCCATAAAAAAACTATAGAACTGGATACAATGAAAAATTTAAAGTGATCTCTGAGAAAAGAGAAACATACAAGGTGAACCCCCACACTCACCCTGGCTTTCTGCCTAGAGGTACTTTCTGGACTATGGCATCAAGACTATTGAGCCTTCCTCCCTCAAGAATGTGCATGGCAAAGTACCTGAGAGTAGGAAGCTCTACAGAGAAGGAAATCCAAAAAAATCCAACTTTGGCTGAATTCTAAACAGCTGAGAAACTGCCAGAGATGACACAAGGCTGGGTTGGGAGATGTGTGAGTTCCAAACATCCAGAGTAGAGATATCTTGTTGAACACCCTGAGAATTTAGTTGAAATTCCAGAAAGGTCATGCCTTATTAGTATGCATAATCTAGCCCTGTAGTAAGAATTACCTTAGACCTGTCCCAAATATACTTAAAAAGAAGCCTTGAAAAGATCAAGCAGATCCCCAGGTAAACTGACTTCCTGTTGGAACAAAATTCAAATTCTACTAGGGAGGACAACAAAATATACTCAACAATGTAGCATTTATAAATGTATAGCATACAATAAAAAATCACTAGACGGGGGCATCTGGGTGGCTCAGTTGTTGAGTGTCTGCCTTTGACTCAGGCCATGATCCCAGGGTCTGAAATCAAGCCCCACATCAGGCTCCCTGCTTCACAGGAAGCCTGTTCTCCCTCTTCCACTCCCCTTGCTTGTTCCCTCTCTTGCTGTGTCTCTGTCAAAAAAATAAAATCTTTAAAAAAAAATTACTAGACAAGTGAGGCAGAAAACCATAGCCCATAATGAGAAGAAACACTAGCTTACCAAAATGGACGGATAATAGAATTGCCCAACAAAGACTTGTAAATAGCTATTATAATATGTTCAAGGATTTCAAAGAAAATATGAGCTTAATGAAGGAACATATAGAGAATCTAAAAAGAGAAATGGAAACTGTAAAAAATAAAAATCCAAAGGGGCTCAAAGCTGATTAGATACTGTAAAAGAAAAGATCAGTGAACTTAATGACAGAGCAACAGAAAATATCAAGTGGAAACATGGTGAGAAAAAAAGGTAGGGGAAAAAAACCCAGAGCCTTAGGGATAACATCAAGTGGTCTAATATACATATACCCAGGGTATCAAAAGATGAGAGAGACTGGGGCAGAAAAACTTTGGAGAAATAATGGGCTGAAAACATTTTGAAATCTGATGGAAAAATATAAATATGTAGATCCAAGAAGCACAATGAACACCAGGGAGGACAAACATAAAAACGAATAGACTGAAAAGAGACACCAAATACAAGATAGTGTTTTCCCTTAGGGAGGGGCCAGGGCTCAGAACCAAAGGAGTCAAAAAGTACTTAAATGCTAGGGCACCTGGGTGGCTCAGTCATTGGGCATCTGCCTTCGGCTCAGGTCATGATCCCAGGGTCTTGGGACTGAGCTCCGCATTGGGCTCCCTGCTCAGTGGGGAGTCTGTTTCTCCCTCTCTCACTCCCCCTGCTTGAGCTCCCTCTCACTGTGTCTGTGTCAAATAAATTAATAAAATCTTAAAAAAAAAAAGTACTTGAATGCTATTGACAAACTTTTTTTAATTTATTTGACAGATGGAGATCACAAGTAGGCAGAGAAGCAGGCAGAGAGTGAGGAGAAAGCAGGCTCCCCGCCGAGCAGAGAGCCCGACACGGGGCTCGATCCCAGGACCCTGGGATCATGACCTGAGCCGAAGGCAGAGGCTTTAACCCACTGAGCCACCCAGGCACCCCGACAAACATCTTTTTAAATCACACAAAGATTTGAGGAAAATAGGACAAAATGTTAATAGTTGTTAATTTAGGGTGGTGATTATATAGTACTTCTTTATATCTGTATTTTTTTCCCCTAAAAGATTGTATTTACTTATTTGAGAAAGAGAGAGCACGAGAAGGGGAGGTTCAGAGGGAGGGAGAGGAGAGGGAGAAGCAGACACCCGCTGAGCCATGAGCCAGACTTGGGGCTTGACCCAGGGATCATGACCTGAGCCAAAGGCAGATGTTCAACTGACTGAACCACCCAGGTGCCCAGTATTTGTATTCTTTTATATTTTTACACCTTCCAAAGTAAAATAAAATTATCTCTCTCCAACAGAACGCCTTTGATGCGTACTCAGATTTTTTTCATAATAGGTTTCATGAGCTCAGGAAAGGTTAGAGTCCAAAGAGATGACCTGGTCTGATCTCCCCACTTTCAGAGATGGGAGCACTTCTGAGACCGGCACTCCGGGCTTGCTCAAGGTCTCAGGGCACCTGGGAGTACAGAACTCGAACTCTTTTGCCCTCAGTCCACTGTCCTTTCATCTACTCTATGATGCTTGGACATTTCCAAGCTCCCAGTTTGGACAAAGGATACCACCTCTCTCAGAAGCCTCCCTGAGCCCCAACATTTTCTTGTTAAGTGCCCTGGGGAAGTCCACACTCCAAAGACTGCAGGGCGAGGTTGGAGTTGATGAGTTTGGAGAAGGTAGTAACCGAAATGCTCCATCTAGGAATCCCACAGTTTGGATTCTAGATGGCCTCCTCTGCCCCGTCTTCTGTAGAGTTCAAGTGCATTAGGAGCTCCTGATTTGAGGCTTCCTCAGATACTAAGAGGTCCAAGGAGAACTTATGACCACTGCATAACCTCCTGAGTGTGAACCTTCTGGTTCCTTCTGCATCCATGATCCTGGAGCATGTCTGGCTTTCCTCTCCCCACATATGCTATTCATTTCTTCCTCTTCTACCACCCCAGCCCAAGCCTTCATCCTGTCACCCTGTAGACTGCAATGGCCTCGGGGCGCCTGGGTGGCTCAGTCGGTTAAGCATCTGCCTTTGGCTCAGGTCCGGATCCCAAGGTCCTGGAATCGAGCCCTGCATCAGGCTCCCCGGTCAGCGGGGAGCCTACTTCTCCGTCTCCCCCTACTTGTGCGTGTGCTCTCTCTGTCAAATAGATAGATACAATCTTTATTTTAAAAAAAGAAAAGACTGCAAAAGCTTCCTTGTGGATTTCTCTCCCTGGACCCAGTTCTTCCAGTGTGTTCTCCAACCAGTAGCCCAAGCAGGCCTAATAAAACCTCACCCCTGATCTCAGCACCTGATTATATCACTGCCCCCTGATTTTTGGATAAAAATCCAAGATTCTTCCTATGATGTGCATGGCCCTGTGGGATCTGGCCTTATCTCCTTCCATGACCTGCTCACCACACTCCAGCCATGCTGCTTGTCCTCTGTCCCTCCCAGCTCTGCATTCTCCCCAGGCTCTGCCCTCAGCCTGGACTAC